GGAAAGAATATACCGAAAATAAGGGACACGAAAATGCGGAGAGGTTGGCGAAACGGGCGGCTAAAAAGTCTACTAGTGATGGAACGAATAGTGATGTTGCGAAAAGCCGGATACCGGATATTCGGCATTCCCTTCGGCCGGATATCCGGTTATCCGGTCATGATGGTTATAACTTCTGGTGCATTTCTGAAGTGATACCCCACATTGCCACATTATTGCGATATTTGAATAAAAATGAAATTAATAAGAAAGCTGATAAGATATGTCAACTTATTTGGATCCAAGATACTAAATAAACTTTTTTAATGCTGATTTAACTCACGAAGCAACTCTAAAAAGAGAATACTTTAATTAATAATTGGTGCTATTTCGACAAGGATCCATCAAGAAATGAATTTTATAACGAATTTTGAAAGTTATCGATGAAAATTGCAAGATCGAAAATTTAATCAAAACTTCAAATATTGTTTTCTCAAAAACTAAAAGTTATTTTTCAAAACGTGTTGGTTCATTGGAAAGAGGACACTCTTATTAACACTTTGGGAAATTTTCATACTCATAGTCCAAGAAATGGATTTTATGCGAATTTTTAAAACTTAATCGGCGAAAATTGCAAACTTCGAAAAAATTCTCGATCATTTCAAAAATTTATTTCTCAAGAACTGAAAGTGATTTTTCAAAACGGTTTTTTGCATTAAAAAGAGGATACTTTAATTAATAATCGAAAGTGATAACAGCGACAATTCTGTTAGTAATGAATGTGATGATGAATTATAAGCGATGAGAAGAAAACTAGACGAAACTGCAACAAGAGATTTTATATATCGTGTTGGGATTGTTGCTAATCACAAACCTGATATAAATAAAGTTGTATTCAATGAAAAAAGTCCTATTGGGGTTGAACTTGATTATTATCTGCAGTGTCCAACAACTAAAATAGATAAGTACTAATTCCTGTGAATGGTGGAGTACTAAGTAATAGGAAAGAATTTTAGTCTTCACTTAGAAATATCGATGTTTTTCTCATTAATGTATTCTACTCTTTTTTTACAGACTCTTCACAGTGGCTGACCTTATTTTACTACATATGTGTGGTACAGTGGTAAGACATTTTTTGGGAAATATGTTTTACATAACAAATCTTCTAAAACTGGATTAAACATATTTATTATATTCGGTATTTAAAAAAAAACAGAATAATTAATTGGTGTTATACTAGCAGTTGTATGAAGGAAGATAAAGAAGTGCAATCAATTGTACATAATCATATTATTAGAGTTATCAAACGCTTCTGTTTTTGGAAAAGTTGTCCCCAGAAAAGACTCCAGTTGATTGAAATATATAAATGAAGGAGTTATTGATGATATTAGAACTAATTTTATGCTTTATTATAAGAATTTGTTGATTGATTGCATGGCGATGAATTATAAGAAGGATTTTTTAAAACAATAATGCAACCACATAAAATAAAATAACCATTTATTGATTTAAAAACCGTAATATTACATAAACAAAAGTTTTTAATTATACAGGTGATTACCAAAAAAAAAATGTTAATGATATGTTCATCACATGTTTGATTTTACTGACTATTAATAAATTCGCTGCAGAAAACTTTAAAATGTTATAATTTCGTGAGTAATTGAAATGGAATTTTTTTTCTAATTGGATTAGCTATCATATGTCAAAGTTTGATGGTGAGCTAATAAATCATCCTGTATCAATGTTGTGTATGTAGGTAATTTGTAGAATATTCGTTTAACAGTTAAATCATTTACTCACAATAAAATATTTGTAACAAAGTAACAAGGTAACATAATCGATAAACGCAAAACGTTAATCCCCGTTCTTGATGTTCTAGGTAATCTAGATCTCCTCTCTTTCCGTTCATCCCCTTCCTCAATAGGTGTCGCTACATTTATATGTAACAATAAACAAACAAAATTTTTTTTAATTATTCCTAAGTAATTAAATTATTAACAAAATAGGTTATTCAAAACAAAAGGGCACTTTTCACTGCGTTCAGGGTTGTTATGACCCTGATGAAGTGTTCTACCAAAGCGTCTGTATGTGTAACAAGAAAAAAAACACCAAAAACTAAAATAACAAGAGAAAATCGACGAAAATTGATATATACGGCTATGAAGTACACTAATCTAGATAAGATATGTGTAAACAGACACAGCAAAATCAAAACAAAATTGAATTAAATCTGAGACAAATCTTGCTATTATCTATGATTGTTTATAATTTCAAGTGCTCATAGTTTCGCGAATCACTTGCCCTCGCATAAACCGATCACTCAACACAAAACCAAACCTCGAAATCAGCGGGTTTAGACAATCCACCACTCTGTATGAAAAACTGCGTTTGAATAACTGAGAATAATGATTTGGAATACTGAGGATGTTAACCTCACGAGCCTCTCTTCTCAGTTGTAACCGTTCATACAAGTACACCGGGACACCACTCTTCAGGATCCGGAGATTATTCTCTTCACTAAACAGAGGAAATTGGGACACTTAACCCTATTTCTGCAACAGTCCATTAACCTTTGCTCCAGAGGTGAAATATCTTGGTGTTATCCTTCAGGATCCGATAAAAGCACATAGTACTGTGGAGGTGGCGACTTGTTGCATGAACAACCATTGATAATTGAGTCGGATCCAGGACAACCTTTCACCTCTTCTGATACCATGTATTAACGAGTCATAAACTACATCGGCAAAAATTAGATTGCTGAGCACCAGCGACTCGCACAGCATTCTTCTGCAATCTCGATCCAAAACATGTCTATTATGGTAGTTCAATGTCACCTACTTCTATTAAATCTAACTTCTGATGATTTAGCTTTTTCAAATAACGCTTTTAATCTTTTAAAATGTTGTTCTTCGTTGGTTCCCCATACCATAATATCGTCAATGTAAAATTCAACCCCTGGTAAGTCACCAAATAGCTCTTGAAATGATCTATGAAATACCTCGGGTGCTGAACAAAGTTCAAAAGAAATTCTTTTGTAACAATATCTACCAAATCTTCCTGCATCAAAAGTTGTGAGTAGTTGACTATCTTTATTTAATTTGATTTGATAAAATCCCTGACTAGCATCCAATGTAGAGAAAATTTTAGCATTTGGTATCCATGATGATATCTCATTAAATGTAGATAATTGATATCTTCCTCGGATTATGGCTTTATTAAGATTTTGCGGATCCAAACATATTCTTAATTTATTATTTCCTTTTTTAACCACAACCATAGAACTCACCCATGATGTAGGATTTGTTACCTTTTCTATAATTAATTGTTTTTCCATTCTTGCCAATTCAGCTTCAAGTTCCTTTTCTACGCTTATTGACATTTTTCTTAGTGGTTCCACTACCGTTTTTTCCAGTTCACCAATTTCTTCAAATACTTCTTTGTTTTCTTTAACCAGATCTTCAATTTTTTTCTTATATTTTGAATTTCATCTACTCTGTAGTAAATTCAGCTTTTCTATCACTGGCAGGCCTATGATGCAGGGTGAATTATCTATATCAACTACTTTGAAGTTTAAATTGGCAGTTTTATTACCAACTATTTCACCAACTACCTTGATTAAGCCTCCATTATATCCTTTCAACTTGACTTGAGACTTTCTAACTTCAGCCCTAACTGTCATAGCAGTTTTCTTATCTATTATATTCACCTCTGCTCCTGTGTCTATTTTAAATACTACTTCTTTATTTTGAATATTTACGGTTTGAGTGCATTCCTTTACTTTATCCACTCTAAACTCCATTAAACTTCCAACAAATAGATTAATTTCTTCTTTTTCTTGCTTTTCTTCCACCATATATGCCTTTATGGATCTACAAACAGTAATATTTATTACAGTTTCGCCCAAAAGTGAGATATTTCTTCGGTGGATGCTTCTTCCCACAACTTTTACAAGCGTTTTGCTTCATTTCTTCCCTTTTGAAACCTTTTATCTCTTCTCTCATGACTACTTCTCTTTCTTTCTTTATTTTACACACCATATTTTCCTTGTCTAGTTTCTTGGATTGCAGTTCTGCTAGTTCTGATGCTTTGCAAATTGTAGTACAATTCTCCAGGGTTAATTTATATTCTCTTAAAAGTCTAACTTTATTATCCCTGAGTCCACTTTTGAGTTCAAATTCAATATAAACGTTTATTAATGTATTTGAAACATTTGAATTGATGGATATTTTAGGTTTTTTTCTCTATTTCTCTTCGCCGACATTGTTCACTTAAGAATTTTATTTCATAAATTTAATTTGTTATAAGTCATAATTTAAGTTTCTTCATTTTGTAACGTAAGTCGAATTCTTTCCCTATTATTTAATTACATTTAACTGTAGCTCTATTTCTAGATATATATGTTACAGTGAAAACTCGTTCTCCGTCAAAACTAGTTTTAACCATAGAAATCGGTCAAAAATAGTTTTGACTGCAAGCTTCGGTCAAAATCCGTTTTGACTGATATATATCGGTCAATACTATTTATAACTGAAAAATAGCGGTCATAGAGGGTTTTGACTAAGAGTGTCAGTCAAAACCATAATAATAAACGGTTTGTGATAAGAAAATCTTTGGATTAATAAAAAATAAAATTCGACTTGTTTTTGCTCATTACGATATTTCAAATCGTTTGGAAATTAGATGGGGGGGGTTACATATGACGCGCACTGTATATATGTAGCATTAAGCGAGTTATAAGTTAACCTAAAAAAGTAAAAATGGTAAGTGAAAATAAACGGTAAGTGTTTGTGAGAAAAAATGAGTGAAAACGAAAAGAAGGAAACATTTTTACATAAACTTTTAACAACCGAAGAAACGAAAGATAGCCATTTTAATGTGATGACAAAAGAAACTTTTGAAAAATTTATAATGGAGATTAAAGATATTAAATTAACAGAAAAAAGACTACAAAACAATATAATAGATTAAAACGTTTTAATGTTATAAAAGATTGTGGAATTAAAAAATTAGTTACAACAATGGAACCCATGACGTACTTTTTACCTGCTGAAGAAATTTACGACATAATTGATGCTGCCCATATTTCTATTGGACATGGCGGCCGTGACAGACTTAAGAATGAAACGGCAAAGAAGTATGCTAATGTAACAAAAGAAATGATCAATATATATTTATCCATGTGCGAAGTATGTCAGAGTAAGAAAAGTAAGAGCAAGCAAGGACTGGTGTTAAAACCAATCCTCCACACCGAAATGAACAGTCGTTGCCAAGTCGATCTCATTGACATGCAATCGCAAGCAGACCGTGAATACAAATTTATTATGGTCTACCAAGATCATTTGACTAAATTCGTGGTTTTACGATCTCTTAAAACAAAAAGAGCTGCAGAAGTTGCGCATCACTTGCTGGATATTTTTTTAACTTTTGGAGCTCCATGCATTCTTCATTCAGACAACGGCAGAGAATTTGTGAATTCAGATTTAAAAGAGTTAGCATCTTACTGGCCTGAATTAAAGTTAGTTAATGGAAAGCCGCGTCATAGCCAAAGTCAAGGTTCTGTTGAACGAGCCAACCAAGATGTGGAAAATATGTTGGCCTCTTGGATGCACGACAACAAAACAACTAACTGATCTAAGGGGCTCAGATTTGTTCAATTTATGAAGAACAGAGCATTTCATTCTGGCATAAAACAATCTCCATCTCGAGCAATGTTTAGATCTGAACCAAAAGTGGGGCTAATGACATCGAATTTACCTTTAGAGGTGATTAGTAAACTAGAAGATGAAGAACATTAGAAGTAGAATTGCAGGTTGCAATCACTGAAATAAATCAGAATTTGGAACACAATAAAAAGAACGAAAGTGGAGAAGAAAATGACGAATATTACAAGGAAGATGAAGGAAATAAAATAGAAAAGGAAGGCGAAATTGCTGAGGTAGAGAAAGATCAAGAGAGAGCTACACCTTGTACTAGTGATGAATTATTAATACGAACAGCAAGGAAAGATGCTCATTACAATTTGGCAAAGCAGTCGGAAAGAATGAAAAAATCAAGTGATCAATCACATCCACCATTGAATGTCGGAGATAACGTTACTATACCAGTTTCAGACGTGGACAGAGGAAAGGCAGAACTCCGTAATATTATTGGAATTGTACTAGAAGTGAGTTCAGAGCAACAATATAAGATTGGTACAAGGGATGGCATATTGGACAAATTATACTGCAGGTGAATACTCATACATACAAGCCCAGCCATACACAGGTAACATTAAGTCGCCCGTGTATGATCGGTTTAAGTAGATGTAAATGTATATTGCCGTAGGGGCGTGAGTTGTGAAAAATGCGTTTATTTTTATGATTTTCTTCTTTTTCTTTAATAGGTCAGAATTTGGTGGCTGTAGCGAAAAATTCATCCGTCGTGATGAAGTGCCAAACGTTACAATTACTTTAAGAACAGCTGCCAGGAAAGCTTCTATAGGAACAGGGCAAGGTTATGCAAGATGTGTTTGTTTTAAAGGTTGTACCAATAATAAATGTTTATGTAAGAAAAAAGGACTATTATGTAATTCTAAGTGGTATAATAGTTTAAATTGCGCAAATAAATAGTTTCGTTTAGATGCCTGTAAGATTTATTTAACCAAGATTTCATGCAAAAAAAAAACATAAAAATAACAGATGGGTTTTCTTCCTTTCCTGTTGCTCAAGCATCCACACCAGTCTATCTCTCACCTACTAATGCTTCTGCTCTCCCCCTCTCGTCTCCTCTAACCGAAAAAGAGTTTTGCCTAGCAATTACTGGTGAATATACTTTTGACTAACGCTCTCAGTCAAAACCCTTTTTGACCGGTATTTTTCAGATAAAAATAGTATTGTCAGTCAAAACGTATTTTAACCGTAGACTGCTGTCAAAACTAGTTATAACTGAAAACGCGTTTTAACTTTAACATATATAATTATATCAACACCACGCGTAATATAAAGTTTCAACGACTGTAAGTTTTTGTCTAGTCTCGACAAGTTTGTGTTTTGTCTATTTTCATTTATAATATAGATTCAAACTGATGATGGGGATGATGCCCGAAACTAGTATTTGAGTAAATAAAATAATTTATAGGAAATAAAACTTTTTAAACATTTTCTATTTCGAAATATTTAAGTTGCAACATGGATAAATGTGAATTAAATCAAAAAAATCGTCCAAGTCAGATTAACAATATTTTTATTAATAGAAAATAATTTTAGCTTTATATTTACATTTAATTATTGTGAATTTCTTAGGAAAGGTTTTATAATAAAACATCAAAATATCCTTTCTCATAATAATCCACCAATACTCCTCTAACCCTTTCATTATACTCATTAGCATTTTTACTCTTTGTCATAAAAAGTTCTTCGGCTACTGAATCAATGCCTTTCTCTCGCCATTCAGGAATTTCATTTGTATCTCTTGTTATAACCGTTAAAACCATAACCGTGGTAAACAATCCAATCAAGGAATACCTTTTTAATTCCTCTTGTAACCCATCAAAAGTTAAATAATTCTCGGGATTAGTTCCTAATTCAATTAAATGCGCGCATAACGTGTAATAATATAGTTTAATTATTTCATCGTAATGTTTATCTCTTAATTCTTTAGTGGTGCAAGTAAAAATGAAATAAGATAAATCGCAAGCTGGGGAGCCATAACGTGCCATTTGCCAATCGAGTAAACAAACATTTTTTGGTACATCATTAACGCTTAATTTGCTACATATATTTGTATCGTATTTCCATAACATATTATTTACCCAACTATCACCGTGCCCAATAACAAATCGACTATTATTAGTATCTTTTAAAAGTTTTGGTAAAACCTCTTTATAAGTATCAAGATATTTTTGATACCCACTCAGAACTTTTTCATCTTTAACCGGATCTAAAGCCTCCAAAGCAAGCGCATTTAAACGAGTTTGATTTTTAAGTTGTTCTTCTGTAAACATAAACTCACTAATGATATCTTTCGTCGATTCAACTAATTTATTAAAAACATCGATTTTTTGATCCTTTAAAGCGTAACTGATTGCGTGTAATTTTGCGTAAGATTTTACAACCAATTTCACGTGATTCAAATCTAAAGGATCTTTGCGATTGCGCATAACATAGCCGATATGTTTCATGTCGTTCATTACGATGCTCTCTTTATTCAAATTTAGATAGGATAAAATAAACCCTGCGTGTTGCTCGAATGGTTCTAAAATGTTTTTTTCATGTTGAAATTGTTGAAATAATGTGAATATGTTTTCGTATACGTGAGCTTCCCTCGCGTAAACTGTATCCACGGCCATCATTCTTCTATGTTCGCTCAAATTTGGCGCTGTTTTTACGATCCAATGAAATTCTTTTTGTTCTTTTTCCTTGTTGGTGCAAGTGATTGTTAATTTTCCGATAAAACCCAAAAAATTATCGCCTAAATTACTTCCTAGTTCAACTTTTATAGTAATATTAGTGTATCCTTGATTTTCTAAGTATTGCTTAATGTTATCTTTTACATCTTCGTGGAGAACATTTATGTTTGGAGGTGTTGATACCTCTATCAAAAAGAAATTAATTAATTTATTATAATAAATAAAAGTGATTAAATTTACCTTCATTTTTGATGATTTTTTCTTTTTCTTCAACACAACATTGACCATTTGTTTCGATATCCATTTTGTACAACTTACTATTTTAAAAGTCAAAGTTAAATCAATTTGCTATCGATTTTGCTTAGGAAATTTATATGATTTTTAAGGACATTTTTATCTTATCTAAATTAATTGAGTTACTCATTATTATATTTTTGCTTTGAAATTAAGAGAATGATTAGAATTTAAAATGATATTGCACAATCGATAAATCCAAAATTATGTGAAATCATCTTAGATTCAGGAATATTTAAGATTTGAGAATCTTCGGTTTTTAAATAATAATGATATTTTCTCCATCATTAGTTCGTTTCTTTAAATCGCTTTTTAATTACAAATTTGCAAACTCGATTTTTAATAAGACAATAATTAAGACCTCAGTTTGGAAAAGTAATTTTTGGATATTAGAAATCGATGGGGGATTAAAAATCATCAATAACGACACCAAACTCGATATCTTTAGTTGTTGTGATTCAAAAGATATTGCGATTTTAGTATTGTTAATCAAATCCAAGATGGCTGAAAACAAAACACTAATTTAGAAATTAATTTTATTGAATCAAGCTAAAACTTGTCAGAATTTTATGAAAATCATATTATAGTTATACAATGTAGTGAGCCTCGTCAGCAAGCAACCTCGGCTTAATTAGTCAAAAAATCTACTCAATTCACCTGATAAAGTCGAGGTTGTTTGCGCCCGAAGTACCACAATATGATGACCAGGTTTAGGTTGATAAAATATTAATCACGAAGTCTACTTGTCAAAGACGAGACACCACAATGTGATGACCAGTTTCAAATTAATTACAGAGCCTCGGCAGCAAGCGACCGCCCCAAATATCATAAACGCCAAGACCACACTACTTGCAAAAGATTAAATACTGCTGGCAGAAGACTCTGAACAGTGTAATTCCACTCATTTTCTGCTGTTTACTGCAGTTTAAAGTTTGGCCAGATCACAAGTATGGCAAACACCATAACTTTGTAAAACCTGTTAAATAGCATAATGCATGTAAGACCAAATTTACCTTGATTAAAACGGATTGGAAGAAATAATCTCGGTCGACTTTGAAGACGTCGGCCGCCCAAAATATCCCAAACACCAAGATCACGCTCCTTGCAACAGACTAAATTCTGCTGGTAGAAGACTTTGGCCAGTGTAATTCCACTAACTTTCTTTTAGTTTAAAGTTTGACTAGACTACAAGTGTTACCACCACCGAGCATTAGGTGGTAAGAGGCCTCGAATATATTCTCGAAGAACGTAATTCTTCTCGGGTCCACTCTTTATAGGAGTCTCGTAACGTGGTCAAGTGTGTCAAAAGACAAGGGGGAAAAGATCAAGCGGCGGATGTCAAAAAAAAAAGAAAATACGAAAACGAAAAATAAATAAAACTTTAAATCAATTAATGACGACAATACTTTAATTTATTCTTTTAGAAACAGAACAAATATATAGAGACACAAAAATAATTCTATCTAGTACTCACATAATTCTGTTGGTTGATTGACACCTGGCTTTTTTCTCTTATTTTTCTCTTTTTGCCTTTTCCACTTTTCACACCCACACTTTACCCACGTCTGTACTCTACCTCTCGACTCTTTAACTTCTTCTTCCCAACTCCCTAACTTCTTTTTCTGTGCTCTTCTCGCGAGTTCCTCATCCGTTGACCCCACTCCCAAAATATTTCTGTACTTTCCCGAATTTAATATAATATATTTAATACATGCTAGTACAACAAACACCAAGATCAAACTCCTTGCAACTGACTAAATTCTACTAGTAGAAGACTTTGGTCAGTGTAATTCCACTCATTTTCTTATACTTTAAAGTTTCGCCAGACTATCACAAAATATCACAAAATACCGCGATCACACTCCTTGCAACAGACTAATTCTGCTAGTAGACGAGTTTTGCCAGTGTAATTCCATTATTTTTCTTGTAGTTTAATGTTTGGCCATGCCACAAGTATTACAAACAACAGGACTTTGTGAATCTTGTTAAATAGCATATTGCACGTGAGACCAAGTTTACCTTCCTTGAAACGAATGGAAGAAATAATCTCGAAAACGTCGACTTCGAAAACGTCGGCCGCCCAAAATATCCCAAACACCAAGATCACACTCCTCTCAACAGACTAAATTCTGCTGATAGAAAACTTTGGCCAGTGTAATTAAACTCATTTTCTTTTAGTTTAAAGTTTGACCAGACCACAAGTATCACAAACATCATGACTTTGTGAATCATGTTAAATAGCATATTACACGTGAGATCAAGCTTAGGTTGCTAGAATTGGATGGAAGAAATAGTTCGAAGACGTCGGTCGCCCAAAGTACCACAAACACCAAGATCACACGCCTTGCAACTGATTAAATTCTACTAGTAGAAGACTTTGGTCAGTGTAATTCCACTCATTTTCTTGTAGTTTAAAGTTTCGCCAGACCACAAGTATCTTGTTAAATAGCATGTTACACGTGAGATCAAGCTTACTTTGCTTGAAACGAATGGAAGAAATAATCTCGGCCGAGTTCGAAGACGTCAGCCGCCCAAAATACCGCGATCACACTCCTTGCAACAGACTAATTCTGCTGGTAGAAGAGTTTTGCCAGTGTAATTCCACTACTTTTCTTGTATTTTAATGTTTGGCCATGCCACAAATATTACAACCTGCCACAAAGTGAAACCTGATTCGGATCGATATGTAAAATCAAAAACCTATGAAATAAATTCATTGTAGTGTTTCATGTTCTTCTGTAGACAAAAGACAAGATACTGCTTTTAAAAGATTAAATATTGTACTTACAAAGACATATAAACAAAATTTCAGAAAAGTAAGTGTAATGAAACTAGTAAAAAAGGGTGTTACTAAAAAATTGATAATGTTGCGGCAACGAGTTCACAAATACACGAATCTGCTGTTCAAAATTTATTGTCACTACGTTATGTAAATGAAGGAGGGGAAGAGATGTTGTGGATTAGGAGTGAGGTTGCAATCAAATAATGTTAACTCCAGATTTAACTAAATAGTCTCAACTAGATAATCTTAGGCAAAAGACCGAAAACAGGAAATGTTCTCTTTCTTGCCACGTTGGTTTATATCGGCATAATGAGATACGATGGACTGATACTTTAGTTTTAGTAGTTTCTGAGACTACTAAAATTAGGTTCAGACAATTAGGTTTTCTTATTATTTAGAGTCGCTTTTCCTATGTAAATCAGGTCATTGATCCCGAACCGAAATTGTTGTTTTAATTGATTCTTATCAAAGTGTTATCTAAAAATTTAGGATATTAATAATTTTATTATCTGTAAAAATTATAACGCGTCAAGCTCCAAAATGAACACTTGACAGTTTTAATCATTCCACCTGTTTTAATATCAGTTCATTGACCCCAAAATTGAATTACTGTTTTTTAATTCTTATCAAAGTGTTTTCTAAATAATTCTGATATTGTATTTTTTTACTTGTAAAGATAATGAGATTTCAAATTTTATAAGCATTTTTTATAAACACATCTAGTCGCTTCTTAGGCCACATACATTAGCTGTAACCGATTCAAAATCATCAGATTCATTGCACAAATGAAGTTGTATCAACAGTTCCAAAATTTCAATGCTTTGTGTGGCCTAAAAGGAAACCTTGTGACGCTCTGAGTGGCAGATTTTTATGAGATCCTTGTACATAAATGATATATGCAGAGATTTTAAAGTGTTACAAGTCATGCCCATCAATATAACAATATTCCTCTTACTGTTAGAGATATTTGCAAGTAAAACTAAATCTATCCTGGTTAGATCAGGTGAACAGAAAACATTAATCCTCTAGGGTACTCTACTGATTACCATATCAAAAACTCTCTATTGTATAAATTATAGAATTATGTTTATCGCTTATTCATAACCATGCATCACTTGGTTAGCACGCTTATCCACCACTACTGGAGTAAAAAGTCAAAAATTTACATATCCTGAGTGCAAACATCGAATTGTAACAAAAATTGGATAACCCGCCATTGACCTAAACAACCTTGTTGACTATGTATATATGCACAGCAAAAGGGTAAACTTAATTTCCGAGTTTCCAATGAAGAAATAAAGTGTTTTTTGGTCAAATTACTATTATCTGGCTACCGTATTATTCCTAGATGGAAAATGTGGTAGGAGCTAGGAACCGAATCTTGCAATATGACAGTAGTGAATTCTATGAGAAGAAATAGATTCGAATTGATAAAAATCTTCACTGTGCAGATAATAATAAGCTTTCTCCGGGCGACAAATTTGCAAAATTACTAGAATTTATGCAAATGTTTAATTCAAAATAAAGTTATGGTACTTCAAGATTTCGAAAAGCTAACGTGCCATAGTAAAGGGTCCAGACGATCTAGACAGCCGTTCTCGGCACCAAAACATACTCCATCATGTTGCTTAAGCATGTTCTGAATCCTAAATTGATATCTCAAAAATCGAGTGTTCTCTGATTTTTTGAACAAATGTCTGCTGGAGCAGGTTTTTCTAGAAAAATTCGAATAAGTCAAGAATGGCTGAATCAAATTGCAAAAAGTAAAGTTATTCATAAGCCTTGAAAACAGACAAATCCAAACTTGTACAAATATGTATGGTGTTCCATTTAAAAAAATAAAGTAAGAATAAAATAGAAATGGTAATAAAGTAGAAATGTGAAAATATTCGTTCTCTTCGAATAGTCGAATAGAACGCAATTGATATTACTTAAACCTAAATTCTCAAATTTGTATTTTGGCCAGAACCACAGAAACGTCTAATGACCGGTCTCGCTAAGACACCTGTATGCAAAATTACTTAGTTTAGAAGCCTGTAAAAAAAATTTTTTTTTTATTTTTTTTAAATATGTTGAGAAATCTTCGATGGATTTTATTCATATTTTGGCCATGCGTTTGTATCAGTAGATTACAGCTATTTGTGAAATAAACACAAATTTCAAAAATTACAGGTTGAAAACCGTTAGCAGTTTGAAGGATAATTATTATTCTGAGGAAGGATTGTGGGCAATAAAATCGCAATTATTTCGCATCTATTTTCGACGCTTCCTCAGGGCGAGTTCGTACTAAGAAATACAAAGTAATTATTTTACAAAGTAAATAAAGCTACAAATTACTTACAATTGCACTAAATTTGCGAAAACTTTGAACATTGTCAAGGAAACCACGTGTAAAATTTGAGTTAAGTTATCACAATAAATTATGCACCCATATTTTTTTAACCCCCTGTATAAACACTACCATTGTTTTCTGAATAGAAAAAATTGTGAAGAAAAATTCATATAAAGGTGTGTCCTAAAATGGTTCCTAAGGGAGATAGAGCACTTTGAAGAAGACGTTCAATATGTATGCGACGAATTAAATTAATAATCATGAAGAAAAGTTCATATGTGATCAATGTGATCACACAAGACGTTCAATATGTGGTTATTTCTCATTATTTCAAAAACTAGCAGGGTTAGAAACACGAAATTTTGCCATCCATAGCTAGCTATTTTTACGGGGCGAATACGATAATCGAATGAAAAATTAGAAGGAATGTGAAATAAGGGATAGGTGGCGCAATTTATTTCCCATATTTTTTTTTGCTTTGATCTTTTCACTATTTTAACCTCAAAATTAGAATCTACGGAAAAAATACATAAAAAATGTTCTGCTTATAAAATGGTCTACTGTCGTATGATGTGTAAGGTGTTAATAAATTAAAGTCCCAATAAACTATAATCATTTACTAATAGAAAACGGCATTTTAAATCATAATTTACGTCAACTAGATGCGTACGGTACAACGACTAGATAAAGGTAAAAAGTGACATGGCCGCCGATACATGTGTTTTATAAACCCGTAACGCCATTTATTGTTCCATACTACATTCCTCCCTTACAATGTAAACAAAAATAAGAACACAACTCAAATTCTAAACATCAATTGTCTCGGAAACGAACAGGTATTTGTCGATTTCTTGGTGGATTTCGTCTCGATATCGGTGTAGACCCTTGTGATTTGGTAGGGGTTGGTGATTGTGTATTAACAGGGGTTGAACATAATTCTGTCGTTACCTCATTTGGTGATACTTCGGTTCTTGATTCATATTCGATCTCCGTCGGAACTTTGTCAATGGTATTGTCATATGCAACTATCTCATTTGACGAACTCGTTTCCGGTTCTGTCGTGTATCGATGTCACATCTGATCTGCATGTTTTCTCTTCCGAATACCATTTACACAAACTAAGTAGGAATACGGACCTGATTGTTTTAATATATTACCTGGCGTTGATCCCTTGGTGAATGGGTTGTTTATCCATACGGGGTCGTTTAACTCAAAAAACTTTTCTCTGACGTGTTGTTTGTCATAATACATCTTTTGTTTTAATGATTCATTATCAAGTTTTCTACCTACATCTGGTTTCAGTTAGTCAAAAATAATTCTTGCTGGTCGACCGAACATTAATTCACTGGGAGTCCTTCCTGTTTCTCGTTGTGGAGTATTTCGGTAAGACATCAAGAATTTACATAGTCTATCATGTAGATTTAAATTTTTGTCACTACTGTTTAAACGGTCTTTAAAGGTTTTCACTACTCTTTCTGCTTGTCCATTTGATTTTGGATGGTAAGGAGTTATTCTCACATGTTTAATACCTTGTGATTTACAAAAGTCTTCAAAGTCACTTGACACTAACTGAGGCCCATTGTCTGTAACTAACGTTTTCGGCCATCCAAATCGCGCAAAAACAGTTTTCATCACTTTGATGGTTGACGCTGTTGTAATATTGTTCATTTCTTCAAATTCAATCCATTTTGAATACGCATCCACAATGATCATCCACATTTTCCCTTCGAATGGTCCTACAAAATCTAGATGAATTCTAGACCATTCTAGACCGAGTAAGTGTTGAGTATCTTGTTTACTACTTTGACATGTTTGACACCCTTGGACATATTTTTCGATATCTGCATCTATGTTTTGCCAATATACATGTAAACGCGCTATTGATTGCATTGCGGTTATTCCTGGATGTCCATCGTGAAGCATTTTGAGCGTTGGGTATTGAAGGCTTTTGGGAATACATTTTCTTCCCTTCCACAAAATTAGGTCTTCCTCGCACGATAATTCTTCTCTCTTTTCATAAAAGGATCTTAAATCAGGTTTCACTCTATCTTTGTCTGGCCAATGTTTCTTAATATATCGAATCTGTTGTCGTAAAATTTCATCCCTTTGGATGTGAATCCGAATTTCTTTCTGTGTCATAGGCATATTTTTCACTCTTAAATGAAGTAGATGTCCATATTTAGGCAAACCAATTTTTTCATTCTTCGTAGTTTCCGTTTTCTCCTTCAGTGGTAACCTAGGTAAAACATCAGCTGTCTGATTTTCTTTTCCCGGTTTGTAGGTAATATCATAGTTATAGTTATTTAAAATCATAGCGCATCGCAATAGACGATTGCTAGCGATCTTCGGTGTTTCTCGATTCGAACTGAAAATCCGTTCCAACTGCTTATGGTCCGTTTATAATACAAACTGCCTACCATACAAATATTGATGGAATTTAGTAATAGCATAGACTACCGCCAATGCCTCTTTATCTATAGTGGAATAGCGGTTTTCCACTTCAGTATTATGTTCTGGACGCATATGCTATGGGTGGAAATGAGTTGTCTGGCATCTTATGCCATAATACTGCTCCAGCTCCCTTATCCGATGCATCACTACTTACGTATAATGGAAGTTCTGAGTTATAATGAACCAAAGTAGCTTTATCTGTTAAGCTGCCTTTCAAGTCATTAAAGACTTTATCGTTATTTGGAGTCCACTCCCAAACAGTGTTTTTCTTTAAATTTGATCAATGTTAATAGTAAAATCCATTTTACCAGTAGATGTGAATGATATTTGATTGAATTTTGATTTTTATAAATCACTAATTGTACTTTTATACTGGTTTATTATAAGTAAATCCGCTTTACATGTTTCGACTAATTAGTCATCTTCAGAAGCGTTGTCGTAATATTAGAAACGGCGTTCAAAAAACTTCGCATAAAGTATAAGTCGTAAATAAGGTCAGCACATCAAAAACGGTGATATTCAAAACAATTATTGTAAATATTAATATAATAACGTCGAAATTTCTGCCAAAAATGATATATTACTATCATCAAGAAAAACCGGATCAGAAGGAATGGGTGTTGATTGCATCGGTTTCTCAAAGTTCGGAAACCCGTGCACAAGATCGGATTTTCGTCAGTTTCTCTTTTTCGGTAACTTTTTTTGTATTTCTGACAAAGGTTCGTCGTCTCTATTTGACTCTTCGTCAGTGTCGCAATCATCAATTGTGAAAGTCCGTCCTTGATTTGTAATTTTCGCCATAGCTTCAGCCTAAAGCTGTCGACCATCCTTCGACATTCCTCCCAGCTTATTGATGTCGTTGCAGCATTCTTCATTGCCGCCATCTGCAGCACTTTCAGCACCATCATCTGGAGCAGTAATAAAAATCAAACATCAGCGGCCCAAAAATTCTCGTCTTCCCTGTTATTTGAATGAGTTCTTGTGATTGGTCTGAAATTATTAAAAATCTTTATGGACCCGTTTATACCCATAGTTCCAATATTGGACCTTTTGGGAAAAACTGCTTTTTTGAACTTATTGTATTTATTATTATAGATGATATATAGAAAGTAGTAGGATAGTGTTTACGTGTAAATGTGATTTCACTGCACTTGTCGTGGTTAATATAAAGATTATTATTTATACAATATACCTGTAATTTGTCTAATTGTTAGTATTATTTATCTTGAAAACGAGTGGAAACGAATCACACCTTTAAATATATGAACGCAATTTCCGGACATTCTGTATAAAGCGTCGCGTTCATTAATTTAATTTCATCAATTATTGTGTTAGAGTAAACATCTGTCTGTAAAAAAAAAAAATAAATTATGCAGTAAAATCGGATTTTGATACGCAAAAAGAAAGCTGATACCGATATGATGCTCATATCGGATATTTATGTATTTTATTTCTTAATGGTTTCAACAATCTTTTTATTCAAATTTTACTTGCTGTATACAAGGTTCAGGAGGTTAATTTATAGAAAATCTAAAAAATAAAATACATTTTTGGAAGCTAAATTTAAATTTTAAATTTTTTTATAAATTTTAAAGTTAAAATAATAAATAAAATTAATAAAAAAAGTTAAAAAAAAGTTTTGTCAGGTGTGGGGTTCGAACCCACGCTCCCGTTTGGGAACCAGAGCTTAAATCTGGCGCCTTAGACCGCTCGGCCAACCTGACTTATAGGTTATATTCTTTAGATTGTCGATTAATTAACAAATATAAATTTCTTTATTGATAATCTTAGTAAAAGGTTAAATAATAAGAATTAATAACTAATTATTATAATTAAAGCTTAATTTATTTATAAAATTCTTCAACAACGAAATTATAAATTAAAATGAAAATGTCTTCCTCTCTACATTAAGCAATTCCACATAATATATTAATGTAGAGCTACCAGGAATGCTCGGAACAACCCCTTCTTTTCCATAACCCATTTCAGATGGAACAACCAACTTCCTCAATTCACCAATACACATTCTAAAATATATAAAGTTAGTTGTTACCACGAAATAAATTAATTCATACCCCAATAAACCTTGATCCCATCCTTTTATAACTTGCCCAGATCCAATTGTAAAGGTAAAAGGAATTTGTCTAATATAACTATTATCAAATTCAGTCCCATTATCATATGTAACCTAAATAATTCATCAAACTTTAATTATGTAAGTAAAAAAAAGTAATACAGATTTGTTTTACTTTGTAATGAACATGTAAAAGATCTCCTTTCTTAGATTTTTCATTGCATGTTTTCGGACGATGTTTTATTCCAATTTGTAGCCTTTTTTTATCTTTTTCACAAGAAGCACAATTTGATAAGATAACCACAAATAAAATAAGTACAAAATATTTCAACCTCATCACTCGTTTAATTTATTTCATTAATACTTAATGATTAGAAATTTAAATACACAAAAATTGAGGTTAGAATATATTTTGACGTTTTACTTTTACCGACATCTAACGGTTAAACATCTAAACAAGTATAAATATTAAAAGGAATTATAAAAAGTAATAAATAAAATGAATTCATAAAAATTTATTATTAAAAATCTATTCTTTACATGCTAAGTCCACATAACTACTGAATATACTAATCTTCCACAGGAGTTTTTTCATTACTGTCCTTTTCACTTCCTATAAAATTGGTTATCTTTTTTTCAGCACTTCTCGTTAAGACGGTTATTGCCTAAAAAACACAAATTGAATGATTTAAAATAAACAAATCCAACTAAAATTGTACGGATAAAATTGGCATTGAATCTTTTCTTTGATGCGGAGGTACAAATTCAGGAACTTGCTGTATTCGATACCACACCCAGTGAATACCTATTATTATTCCCGCTCCGGCGATAAACACATAATTATTTTTGAAAAATTTACTTAATTTTGACGGGGAACTCATTTTTATTAACACCGGAATTTTAGGTTAGAACTATTTAAAGGTATTTGCTGATAACTTCACGTCAATGTCAAATTTACATTATTTAAGGTAAACTTAATAAAATAAGTTTATTTAAACGTTTTAAAAAAGGAGAAATTGTTAATTAATATTTTTGGCACAAATTAAGTTAATTAAATATCGTTTTATTAATAATTTTTTTTTAATAAGTATTAATTTGACAGTTTAAACGTCAACATAACCTATAAAATATTCTTCTTATAAATCAACATGGAATCGGACGATCAAAAAGAATTGGAAATTAATAAATCCGATGAAGAAGATGTAACAACAGACGAAAGAGTAAGTAATAAATTAGTTTTTCTATTTAATAAGTAAATTACAAAAAAAATTAGGATCGAATCAGAAAAGAATTATCAACAATGTCCTTTGAAGATCTCCAAAAATTGAAGGAAAAAATTGGTGATAAAGTCTACAACGAAACCGTTTACGGCGTTAAAAAACAAACCAAAAAAACCCAATTTAAAAGAACCAACAAAAACAGACCCAGAGAAATGAGTTCTAAACGTCCGATTAACATAAAAAAAGCAATCATTGAGACAAAAACCACACCGCAATTTCGCGATCCCCGTTTTGATCCTTTATGTGGAAGTTACGACGATAAATACTTTAAATCCAACTACAAATTTTTATATAACATGCGAAAAGATGAATATAAACAATTAAAGGAGGAGTACGAAAACACCGAGAACGTTGAGCAAAAGGGAAAAATAAAGTTTTTAATGCAACGGCTGGATAATCAAATTCGTGAGCACGAAAAACAGAATCAATTAAGGGAGGAACAAGAAAATGAAAAGAGGGAAATGCGCCAACAATTTAGAAGGGGGGAGAGACCTGTTTTTAAGAGAAAATGTAAGTTGTTAAGCATGTATTTAATTGAATTGTTAATGTTTTGGTGTTTTAGCCGAGAAAAAATTGGACGGTTTAGTGCAGAAATATGAAGATTTGAAGAAGAATAATAAATTGCAGAAACACCTGGAGAAGAAAGCTAAACAATTAGTTTCCAAAGAGAAAAAGAGAGGTTATTTGTAATGTTAATTGAAATAAAATAAGTTTAAATTTAATTTTATCTTATTAAATTTTTTGACCTTGAGAGTTTAAATCAAAAGATTCTTCCTTAATTGTACTATAATCATTGAGATTTCCTCACTTTGAATAATATCTAAAAAGTTTCAATGAAGTCTTGGGTGGGTGACTTGAGCCGCTTGAGCGTCTTTGCGCGTTGCATTCTTGGAGGAAACCGGTCCAATTCAAGTTTAAATAAATTTGCGCTCTCCAAAGAGTGCTTCTAATTGTAAACCTGTAGTTTAATGTAAATATGAGTGAAAGTACATCAAATCAAAGTCAATTTTTACCAAAATCCCCAATGAGATCTAGAAGCTATTCAATGAACATATTCGTCACATCCATAATCTTTATTTTTAAAATCGTCATGCCCACTGCGTAAAAAATGAATTACAGTTTCTGCTTATTAGGTTTATTTCATTATTAAAACAACATAATAACTCACTAGAACTAGAAACTTTCGAGTTAAGTCGTGCGGCTTTGCACTAGTATCGTCATTCCTTCCTTTTGTTTTTATAACAAAGTTTTGTTGTAGGTGGAATGAAATCTGGGAAATGTCGCTCTAGTAGCCAAGAAGGCCTTGGTGTCCTTGATCGGTCTTTTGAAAGATTTTTTTCTTTAGCATATTTTTCGCCAAGCATTTTACCAAGTTTTCTATGAATTTGGTAACAATGGTAATTATGTTCAAAAAGTGACGAAATATTTTCAAGTAAAATTTTTTTAGGCTCCTTCTGGCAGAGGAATAAAAATATAAGTATTGTCCGCTAGGTCTACACTGCCCATGCCTATGTTGTATTCTACAACTGCTATAGGCTTTTTTACTGTATGTCCTCTTTTCAAAATTACATCTTGAGTGTCGTTGTCGTGGAAGGAGCTTACCATTATCATATCTTTTTTGTCTTTCCATTTCAACATCATCTGCTTCTTTCTAAATTGTGCAATTTGTTCACCTCTTACTACTTTTGTGTTTTTAACTTCTGGGATTCCTCTCCTGTTTGATCGGACAGTTCCTACACAGTCAGTCTTACATTTCGCTAGTTTATCACTGAGATCAATACTTGAGTAATAATTATCTAATAATAAACAGTAGTCATCCCAGAAGTGAATGTGTAAGTTCCAAAACCATGATAGTTTTGGAACTTACACAGAAGACACCAGTTCATCAGGGTAATGAGAACCATATAACGTATCTTCACCAGTGTATATGATAAAATGTGGTCGAGGAAGATCAGAATCGCTCCAAGGAATGTCAACAAAAGAATCTAAATTTTTATTTTCACTTTCAAAATCGTGATCTGAAGAATCATCAGAAGCATCGCTATAACTTTCGCTGTAATCGTCGTTCGTATCGGAATCTTCAGAATCACACATATTTACATCTAATTTTTTTTGCCATGTCTAAATGATAAGAACAAGTCACCGAACAAAAGCGCAGAAATGCGTTTTAAAAGCGAACAGCGAATTAAAACGTGAAACCAGTTCAAACATGTGTTAGACCGAAGTCTATACTAGCCAAATATGGAATATACGTGGCGAAAATCGTCTTGCCTATTGAATATCACTTTAATTTCTAAGATGCGGATATATTCGGCATACCCACTTCGCAGCGACTTTCGTGATGACGATTATATATGACATAGGCGCTTAAGAGGTTAATAGTTAAGGTCTTTGCCCAAGGTCTATAGAACATAAGGTTACCCAATACCGATTCTCCTCCTCTGAGAGGAAAGGTGGGTCAGTGACGCAGCTGGTTCTATGAACAACACAAGACGATGCGAGGTTTAAATATTTTGTATAGACTGTACCACAGTATAGGCACGTATAGGCTATCTTTTACTCTGACTGTATCGAACCAATGACATCAATTTGCGGGGTAATAATCGATACTACAGAGGCATAGGGAATTAGGTAACCTTATGTTCTATAAACCTTGGTCTTTGCCCACTACACTGTTCAATACTAGAACCGTGTCAAGCACGTAAGAAAACGTTACGAACACTACTATGCCAACTGCAACGAATCAACAGCGTTTATTCTCGCATGAAACGTGTAGATGCCCGTTCAGATCCCGTTTAGGGTAAAACGCCAGTAATTGACCGTTGGTCAGTGTTTGACCGTTTTTGTAAAAATATGTAAAAAATAAGGATCCAAGGAATATCTAAAAAAATATAAATATATCCATAAATAGCCACCAGTCTCCTCTCCACTCCCTAGTACACAAAAAGTCCACGACCATACCGTTCTCGAGTTTTTGTTGTTTAATTTCGCGCTAACTGCAGGCCTATTCGCATCGTGCTAAAAAGCGTAATTTTTATGTTTAGAAATTCGCCCAAACAGGGTAGTACTATTCAGCCGTACTTGCATGTATGATGTTTTTTTTTTGTTTGCCAGTGATTTAATGTTTTCAATTGCTTATATTAAAAAAATACCGCTTTAATTAATTGTTTGTTCAAATAAAGCCGGTTCTAAATTTAATTAAAAATTAGTGTTTGACCAAATGGTCAAATACTAGACGAATTGGTTGTTTTATAATCTCACAAGGATTTATATTAGATTAATAAAATGGAAAAATGTGTAATACCTGTTTTTAAAACTTATATCTTCCCGTTTAAGTTGTTTAGTATATGACCAAAACTTTTATACTTTAAAACTGAGATACAATCAGTTTAAATATGCGGTCAATTACTGGTTCCTCTTTTGGTCATTTATAGGACACAAACACTCACAACTGAGTTTTTTTACCGATTTTAAATTTTATAAATTTTTAAGCGTAATATAAATATAAGTGTAAATGTTTGATTCTTTTCTATTTTTTTAAACCTTTTTTATAACAATAAAAGTAATTGACCGCACTTAAGCAGTAATGAGTCTGTAAAATTAAAAGGATAAAAGGTTGGTCAAACGCTGACTCTTATAGTGGTCAATTATCAAAAAATGGAAAATCTATATGGAAAATTTAGCAAATATGAATCAGGTTAACATTTCTTCAGTATCAATATGACAACGAAGCGTAAGATTTAAAATAGTGAAGAAGATCTTCAAAAGACTCTCGATGTAAGAAGTAGGAGTTTATCTTATGAAAAAGCAGCCAAGATGTTTAACGTTTCAAAGTAAAATCTTATTTATAAAGAAAAAACACCAGTGCAGAGGAAAATGGGACCACCAGTATTTTTAAATTCTGATGAAGAAAAACTGCTGGTTGAATGGTTGTTTCAATTAGCAGATAGGGGTTTTCCTGTTTCAAAAACCAAGTTGGAAAACACAAAATTTGGGTGAAAAGTTAAGTCAAGAGCATTTTGCTCCTGTTTTAAAAGATGTTCTTAAAGAGTCAAAAAATATAAACATCTGATTGCGATAGTCGAAGCCGTTGGTGTAGAAATACAAGCTTATGCTGATGACATTGTCGTTATGGTTAAAGGAACCTGTTTGTCGAGGATATCCAAAGTTCTCCAAGTGACCCTAGATAGCATTTGCGCTGGGTGTAAGGGAGAGAATCTTTCGAAAAACCCGTAAAAGACAATTGTGTTCTTCACCAGGAGACGAAAGTTAGATGGACTAATCCGCCCAACTATCCAAGGTGAAGAAATTCCTTTCTCAAAGGAAGTCAAATATCTAGGAGTAATCCTAGACAAAACCCTCTCATGGAATGAACATTTGCAGGAGTTTTGCACAAAGCTAGACTATGCTTGTGGACTTGTCGCAGTCTTTGTGGAAAGAATTGGAGTCCTACCCCTGAAAAACTGTACTGGCTCTATGTGACTGTGTTAATTGAAACGGAGTAACAGTCGCTACACATTAGGTACGAGGAAAAATAATCTCAGGAAACGGGACCAATTTTTCAAGGATTTCAATAGCCTCCTTTTTTCTATACCAAGCTTTCGGAATCTTTTTTATTCCTTCGTCAAGTTACCGAACAAATGAAAACAAAACAATGAACAACAAAATCTAATTAATCTAAAAATAAACTAATCTACTTACAAATGGAAACCACCTCTAAAAGCGTCAAAAACGGATTTATTTAACAATGAACCAACTTTAACTTAATCTCTAACTCCAAAGTAAAACAGAAAACGTTAAAATCTTTATAAACCAAAATGGCTGTGACTTTGCAGAAGTTAAACGTTACAACTAAGTGAAACGTTGAGAAACAGAACCCGCAAAAACTTGATTTGAACGTTTACACCAGTTACCCAACAGAGGAGTTGCACAATTTTCAAAAATACAAAACACAAAAATTAAAAAGAAAAACAAAACATTAAGAATGTTAAAATGTAAAAATTTTTCAAAACCTACGTTAAATCGATAAAAATATTATCCCCTTTTAAACAGTAATATGTCTTTAGAAAAAAAGAGATGTTTCATTAACATTGGATTTATCTTGAGACTGTCAATTATTGGATAGAAGGTAACTATAAATTGAGCTTAAATTATCGATATCAGTTCTAAAGTTAACGGATTTTATTTTTTTGTTGATATAGACCAGTGGTTCCCAAACTTATTATGGCTACGCACCCCTTTTTGAGCCAAAACGTGATTGTAGACCCCCTAGTCAGTGCCGTGCTACTAAAACTGTTTTTACCGGAATGCAGTGGTCGTAAAAAGTGAGCTGGCTAGAAAATTGATGACCTGTCACTGACTTGCGACGTAAAATAAATACATACAACAAATATTTTGATATTTAAAACAACATTAAAAAAAACATGTTCCTGTTTTAAAGAAAACATTTTTTAATGTGATGGCTGAGCCTGATGAGTTGTGATCAAATTGTTTATGTTTGGCTCTATATTTGTAAGCAATAACCGCAAGTCACCACGAGCACTAACATCAAGTCGGTTTCTTTTTTTCGTAATCAGGTTCATAACCGCACTAAATCTACGTTCCATTAACTATGAAGACGAAAAAGCTATTAAAAACTTTTCCGCAGTGTCCTATACTTCGGGATATAAAGTTGATATCTGTTTTTGTAACCAACATTTTTCATATCCGTCAACAAACATTGGTTTTAATTCTTCGTTTGTACTTAGCTCGATAAGTTGCTAATGAATGAAACACAGACCTAGTTGATTTGTATGTAAAAGGGTCCAACACCCAATCGGGAATAACCAAATGAAGAATGTCTTCAAATCTTTTTTTGAAATCTAAGTGAAGTGCTGACAATATACAAAGCAAATCAACATCACGATTTTGTAGCTAAAAAAGTTTTGGAAATTAAGAGAATTTTTCTCGTGAGTAAAATCTATTCAAACGTGCACTTCTAGACAACCAACGTACTTCTGTGTTAAGTAGCAAACGATTGTAACCTTCATCATTCTCCAGGCAAAGTTGAGCAAACAATCTCATTTAAGGCATTCTTTTTTATTTTATTAACTGCTGTAATCACATAAGTCAGTGAGCGATGTAAGATTTTTTGCTACTAAATGTTGTCGATGAATGACACAATGTACTGTTAATACATTCGGTACTGCTTGTTTTAAATATGCCAGGAAACCTCGATGGCGTCCTACCATTGCCGGAGGACCATCAGTAGCAACGCAGATGATATTACACAAAGGAATAGCTTTTGCTTCAAAAAATTTTTAATTCCTTAAATATAGTTTCATCTTTTGTATCAGTTTCCAAACATACGCTATAGTATCTTACAAATTTAGTTGTTAATATACTTCACAGACTTACATATACTACAACAACTGACTACTGTTCCTACTTTTTGCGGACCCCCGAATTAATTTTATTTTGCTACGGACCACCTGAAAACTTACAGGGACCCCAAGGGGTCCGTAGGAACCACATTGGGAACCACTGATATAGACCATCTCCAAAAATAACCTTTTTTGGTAAACCTGTTCCCTATCTACGATAGTTGTATTGCTAAAATCGAAACGATGACCCTCATTAACATGATGGGCCACTAACGCACTTTTTCTCTCCTTTCCAGCTACGCAATCCCTTTTATGTTGGTTAGTGGTACCGATATATGCACCATTATAATTATTACAAGGTATTCTGTAAATTACGTGAGACTAGGCTAGAAGGGGAACAGGATCCTTAGTTTGATCCTTTGTTCCATTGAATTTTGCAAATTTAATAGATTCAGTTTTCAGAACAGACATCAACTGAGTTGTTAAGGTAGGAACGAAGGGGATCTTTACATATTTAAAATTAGGTAGGAACACTTGACGGGTTCTCTTGAGAACCGTCAGGTTTGTTTGCCTTATTGAGATTAACAGTAGATGAATGAAAATTATTGTTATGATTGAGCATACCAAGCAAGAGACCCTGAGGATAACCGTTGTTTGAGAAAATACTATGAAGTCTTTTTACATTTTCTTTAAGGAACCGTTCATTAGAGATCAACTTTACTCTGTTACACATTGTGACGACAACATTGATTTTTTGATTAATAGGATGGTTGGAATGATAATTAATGTATCTCCCAGAGTAAGTGGGTTTAGTGTATCAATTCAAAATGATGTTTTGGTTGGGTTCACGTATAACCCTGGTATTAAGAAAGGGGACTGATGACCCAACCTCTGTCTCTACAGTGAACTGAGGTGTTGATAAAAGCTATTGAAAACTCTGAGGACAGTGTCAACGGAATCGGTAGGAATATAGTACGTTCCATTTCAAATTTTCGACTTTCTTACCATTGAATATGAAGAAACGATAATTCAATTTTTGACCACCTGTATAAGCTACTCTGATACAACAAATAACAATGTATTTGATATCACCTGAAGAGTGTGAATTGGCTGAGAACTGTGGTTTTAAAGAGCATGGTGTAATTTCCCAAGAAAAACTTAAAATCAAAATAACACGAAAGTGAAAAATGCTAGGTACCAGTAACGTTTATCAAAGTTAAACGTAGATACAATGGAATAAAAAAAACGAGCGTTGCTGACTTTTTGGCAAACACTGTATACAGGGTAATTCAAATCCGACCCCCACCATTGGGATCTCAAAAACCATAAGAGATACAGAAATTAAATGGTAACACTTAGCGCACAAGTTACAGCCTTCTAATAAGATATTCGTTTTTTTTTTTGATCAATGTTTTTTTAAATGAAATACATTGTGTGACATATCATTAAAATCAGAATTAATTATCCTATTTTTTATGTGAAAATCAAATATGGCGTTCATAAGAAAAAATAAACCTGATGATAGTTTCACGAAAACGAAACGTCGGAGAAAATTTCTAGTTATGTCATGATATATTTCATAAAAAGTTGCCTTAAGAATGTTTTTTCAGATTCACGAAAAAACGAAAAATAAAGAAGTTATAGGCAAAAAAACGAAAGTCATTTTTTTGTTTTTCGGCCATATTTTAAAAACTAAAACGGCTAGATCCTAAAACTTTGTTGAAAAATGATGAGCTCTAAGATACGCAACTTTGCCCCCATTTAACCATTTCTGTATCTCTTCTGGTTTCTGAGATCCCAATGGTGGGGGTCGAATTTGAATTACCCTGTATTGTTAAACATACTGTTTATTGTTATTATATGATAAAAAAATTAAGTGATTGTTGCAATTAATTCAGCTTGACACTGTTGTGATAATTGAACTCAACTTTAACCTCTTTTTCCATGCTTTATCACAAAAAAAAACTTCATGGAGTCTTTGTTGTTCTCTCAATACAAAATTGATGCCTAAAATACTAAGGGAGCTAATATGACCTCTACAATTCTAAAGGCTACAATAAATTGCAAATCTATATCGTAAATGCACATTGTACGTAATGATCTTCCAATTCTTTATTTTAGAGATTTATTTTAAAATTTTTATATACTAATTACCCAGCTTGTCCAGTTCTCAACATTTTAGCTTCCCTCTTTTCTTGTAACTCCTTCCTTTGTTGTTCAATAACAATCTTCCTTTCATTCAAAAACTCCTCATATTCTTTACCATCCAAATTTTTAACAACTTCTATCCCACATGACTTTGCAATACCAATTATCATATTACACATTTCTTCCATGGTTCGAACTTGTAATAAAGGATCTTGCCTTTTAATTTTTGCTATTTCGAAAATATGTTTTAAAGATACTTTTCCGGCTGTTTCATTACCTAACAAAAATAGCACCCAAGTAATTTATTTATAAAAAATTAATAAATTAAAAATTTACCATACATCGCTGCTTTTTGAATTCCAGCGGCTTGTTTTAGGAAATATGTTACTGGTGGTAAGTTTATAGTTAATTCATAGCTACGATCAGGGAAAACCTTGATTCTACAGGGTAAAGGTATTCCTTCTTTGATGTCTTTGGTGCGTTCGTTAAAGTCTTTGCAAAAAGCGGCGATATTTATACCTCTCTAAAAGAAATAATGATTTAATTAAGTTGCATAGAATTCATTTTTTAAAGTTAACCTGTCCTAACATAGGCCCCAACGGCGGTCCAGCCGCGGCCGAACATGCTGGAATATTCGTATTTAATCTACCATGATGAATCTTTTCAATTACAGCCTTTTTAACCGCTTTTACTTTAGCACCTGCTTTAGACATTTTTTTGATAAATTGAGGTTATGTTTGTTAAAGGTTAGTTTTGATATATTTTAATTAAGAATTAATAAATTTTTATTCATTACATTAATGAAAATATTAACAAAACGAAATTAATAAATTAAATTTAAAGTTAATTAAAATATTAATAATAATTAATGTAATAGGTTATGTTTTAAAAATGAAATTTCCCTAAATTTGTTAATAAATTGTCAAATTTTGACGTTTATGGAAATAAAATTTTAAGACGTTTTTTATAAATCTCTATGTATGTAAATTATTGAAATTAAAACAAACATTTCTTTTCGTGGATATTTATTAAATTGTTTTAGTTACATCATCGGCAATGATCAAGTTATAAATGGTAAATTATGGGAATAATTTCATGGTGGGTAAAAAACCTGATAAACTTTCAAATGGACCTATTTTAAAATGCAAATCTTAACTTAATTTTGTAGGAGATTCAAATAACCCGCTTTGAATATGGCGGGTTCGTACACAACCGCGGCCACACGTTTTTGAGACGGTTTTAGTGTATGACACAAAATAAATCACAATGGGTTCGGGATTAACGAAGTATTCGCGGTTTGCATTCGAAGTTTTGAACGAATTTTACTCGGTATTCGCCGCTGGACCCCTCGGAATAACATTCGTCGCGTATAACGGAATCGTACATCATAATTTCTTTAAAACGTTATTTATGACATCGCTAACGATCGCTTCGTTAATATATTACTTTAGAGGGACCCAATTCGTCACTCCTTCAAAGAATAAAGTGGTTTTCATCACCGGTTGCGATTCGGGGTTAGGATTTTCACTAGCACAACATATTAGTGATTTTGGATTTACCGTGGTGGCATGTTTCTTAAATTTGGAATCGGAAGGCGCGAAGATTTTAAAAAATCGAAAGGGTTTAATTCCTGTTGAATTAGACCTTACTGATGAAGAAAATATTGCTATTGTTGTTAAAACGTTAATGTTATTTGTTGAGGATGAATCTAGAGGTGCAAAATCAAAAAAGAAAGTTAATTTATAATTAATTTTTGATGTTTTTGTTTTAGAATTATATGCTGTTATTAATAATGCTGGAATTATGGTTTTTGGGGAATTCGAATGGTTAACTGAATCCTTAATCGAACAACAAATTTATATTAATTTATATGGATCAATGAAAATAACTAAAGCTTTATGTCCGCTATTGAGGAAATCAAAAGGTTTTTTATTTTTAATAAACTTGAACTTAAATTAGAACTAACACTAGAAACTTTCGGGTTTTGCTGTGCGTCTTTTAAGAAAAGGTTTCACGTTTCGGATGCCATGTTGCAACCTTCTTCACAAACTTTAACAGAAAGAATTAATAATTATCTCAATGGAATCACAATTGATTAAAAGCTCTATAGTCAAAGATATTTTTGTAAATAATCATAATATTATTTCTAATGTGGATAAACATAATAATAGCACTAATTTTTCACACTCCATTAAAAAACAAATTAACAACATCAAGAATAAAGCAATTCTTCAAAGAGAACAATATCAATAAAATTAAGAACAATCCAACCATGCCATTTCATAATAAACTTAAGAAATTTGTCAAGGATAACCATAATATGCTTTTGAGGTTTGACATAATTGGTTTTAATTCAATAGTAATGAACCAAGGTTTATAGAACACAAGGTTACCTCATTCCCTATGCCTCTGTAGTATCGAGTATTACCCCGCAAATTGACGTTACTGGTTCGATACAGTCAGAATAAAAGATAGCCTATACGTGCCTATACTGTGGTACAGTCTATATAAAATATTTAAACCTCGCATCGTGTTGTGTTGTTCATAGAACCAGCTACGTCACTGACCCACCTTGCCTCTCAGAGGAGGAGAATCGGTATTGGGCAACCTTATGTTCTATAGACCTTTGTAATGAACCCTCTTGTGCCAATCTTAAAAAGTCTAATCAAGCTTCATAAAACAGACCAATTATTGGGAATAATAATACCCCTACTAACAGAATCGCGAAACACATTCAAAGGTTTTTCTTCAAAGTCTTTAATAACCATTTCTGTTGTAATATCAAAAATTCTATAGACCACATTAATAAAATAAAAAATATCTCTTTATCCAAAAATCGTATACTTATATCACATGACATAACATAATATCCCAGATGAATCTATTTCCATTATTGAGAAATTTCTTCTTAAAGGCCAAAATTCATTAGATCTAGAATAAGATAATATAACATAATTTCTCTAGGTTACTTAAAATGGTATGCAACCAAAACTTTTTCATTTTCATAATAATTATTGCCAGATGAAGATGGTCTCCCTATGGGCTAACATTTATAAGACAGTAGACAGAAACAGACTGTAGACTGAACTTTTTAGACTTGGTGATTTCAAGAGATCCTGATAATAGCTTGAGCTTTGATATATTTCGCAAACACACAGCCACAGACGTAATAATTCCTAAACATTCATTAAACTCTACTGAACATAAACAGGCATCATTTCGCTTTCTTTTCAATAGATTACAAAAAGTACCGTTAAATGATTCCAATTATCTCACTGAAATCCATAAAATTGTAAAAATCGGTTTGAATAATGGATACAACATCAAAGACTATATATTAACTACTATTAAACTAATATTTCCGCAATATAAGAAAAGCGTTAAATATATAACCTTACTATTCGTCCCTTCCATTCAGTCAAAAATCAGGAAAAATCTTGATAAAATTGACATTATCCCAGTTTTCTCATCGAATTCAAAAATATCTAAACATTTGTTAAAAAATAAACACAAATTTGATAATACGCCATTGAACGGTGTATATAAAATCGAATGTTCAAATTGCAACATGTGCTATATATAGGGATTGCAATTCCAGGCAAGTTTTACAATCCCGGGATTTCGGGATTAAACATATTTTATCCTGGGATCCCGAAATTATATATGTTGTGTGATTTACGAATACATTAAATGTTAAGTAAAGTGTAAAGCTGTCATACGGGCCAGTGTTTCGTCTAATGTGGATTTTTTTCAATATAAAGTAATCTGTCAATTTTCGTTTCATAGCAGGCTCATAATTATGTTCTTGACTAGCGCTAGCCAAATTTGGGCAGCTGAATGTACTTTCAAATTGTGCTTTGTTAATAAATGCGTATGAAGGCCTTTTGTAGAACCACCCACTTTTGTAGATTTAGGATAGATCCACATTTCTTACATTTTACAGTTTTATTGCCACTCGACTTTAAATAATGCGACCACACAGATGTTGAGTCTTCATCTTTATTATGTAAAATAAAAGATGGTTCTTTTTCAGACACGTTTCCAAGATATTTTTTTAAACACAAGTGCAATCAAATTAATTTGACTAAATATACAGGCTGTTCAGAATGAGCTCGGAACAAATGTTGCCAAATGTGTTTTTCATGAAGATATGATAATGAACAAATTTTAAAAACGAACTTTAAAACCAAAGAAAATAACTTTAACAAAAAACTAGTTTTTTATTCTAAATTAAATAATAAAAATAATAAATAATAATAAATATTTTTATTAATTTATCAACAGATACTGAATATTAATGATTATTTTTGCTTTAGAATCGAACGAAGAATGTCGCTACGTGTAGATTATCCGCCAATTTCTGAACATTCTGTATATCAATTAATATTAGTTTTAAAATGCACTGTTTATACTACTACTTTTAAAATGCATTTATTCACCATTTCATGTAGTGAATATCGTGTCGGTTCACGTACTGATATTGACTGATACGACTCTGACACACGAGTCGTATCGGCCACTACGTAGCTGAAAGAAACTGATCCATTACTACCATCCTTTAGTTAAATTTATCTTATAGACAAACCCATCTACTAGCCAATCAGAGCGCGCAAAATAGCCGTAACCGTGGTAATAATCCTTTAGATAGCTTTACCAGAAGATGGTAGTAACGAGCCTAATTTTTACAAAATAAGTTAATTATTTCAATCTTCCTATAATCTCGAAAATCCCGGAATTCAGTTTAAAAATTCCGGGATTTTCGAGTCCAAAAATCATCCGGGATCCCGGGAATGCATTCCCTATATATAGGACAGACTGGAAGAAGCATCCACACTAAATTTAAAGAACACCTAAATAGAGATACTTCAGCTGTTTTTAAGCATTTAAAACTTAATAACCATACTATAGACATTAATAATGTGAGTCTGTTGAAAAATTTAAAGAAATCGAAAAAACTTGATCTATTTAAGGAATAGTTTATATACCTATAAGAATAACAATAAGTAATTGTATTATGAACGACCTAGCGGATGTTAATAATTATAGACTTTTCATCAAATACATGTAATAAGTGATTTCTATCAGCAATCTGAATTCTATCTACACAAATTTTATTTAATTCTTTCTATTTAATTAATATCACGATGATCATTGAATCAATTTTATACGAAACTGGTTCGAAGTGACGAAATCGAAAATTGGGAACAATATATAAGTCGGAAAAACTAATTAATAATCAATTAAAGCTAATTACACTGGTCTACAGTGGTTTTGTTGCCCTAGATATAAGATTGATTTTGGATATATTTATGCTCACAATTCATGAAACTATTAATGATTTTGTAAGATTTACTCTCGTTTTTTTTTTAATCTTTATTTTCATTTTACATTACAAGAATCGGAAAACAAGAAACAAAATAACAGATATATTTATAATGTCAGTTTTGGTTTGAAAAAAAAAGGATACATCGAAGTAAATAGAGAGGAAAATGTCGAAAACATGTTATATTTCCATAAAACACCTTTTATGAGCATTTCTTTTATAATTTTTCAGGGGACAATCTCTTTTTAAAGACCAGCAGTAATCTGCCATCATGTGACAATCCCATCGACCCTAATACCTTCCCCCCATCACTTTTAGATCCTGGTGGAACCACTCTCCCTGTTCCTCACTATAATTTCCTAAAATATCCGGAAATTTATCCTGATGATTGCGGAGATAGTGTAACTTGATACTCATATTTACTCCTAGAGTCTGTAAGTTGGTCAGCATATTTTCTACCTGGGAAATTTTGGACTATCAACACAAAACTTTTCCAAGCTTTACTTTCCGGAACAGTCATAACTTTAATAAAATCTTTGTCTTTCATCAATTGTCTTATTCTAGGGGCTAAAATAATATTCGAGAGTGTTAGGCGATAATCGGCTAATGGACCTGCTGTGCACGTTCATTGTTTCAACTGGTTTCGACAAAGGTTGTTAGTAAACAAACCGCGTGTTGCGTTGGCTTCAAGTTTTAATGTTTACAACTGCTTCTATATTGCTATATACAATTTCTTTCGCTGCTTGATGGCCCGGTTGATGTCCCTCGAAGTGTATCCGTTCTTCTGCAGCATGCCTGGTAGAGAGTGTTGCTCCTTCTTCAAGTTACATGATGCCTACAAACACCTGTTGGTATGGATCTTCTTCTGATGTACACCAAGTTCCATATCTCCATTTTTCGTCCTGGTGACCAACACATCTAGGAAAAGTAGTTTTTCGGAAGTTTCTGTTTCCATGGTAAACTTAATCATGGGATGTTGAGAGTTCAAGTAATCCAAGAACTCTTGGAGTCGTTTTTGACCATGTTGCCATATCACAAACGTGTCATCCACATATCGGAGCCATAGTTTTGATTTTCACTGGCTTTTCTTCAAAGCATCTTCTTCGAATAATTCCATGTAGAAATTTGCTATAACTGGCGATAATGCAGATCCCATGCCTGCCCCTTCGAACTGCTCGTAAAATTCTCCCTTCCAGCTGAAATACGTCGTTAGTCCTCCGGAATAAGTTTTTGGCGAAGACCATCTACAGCATCCTTAACTGGTAGCCTAGTAAAAAGGCGAGTACTCGATCTGTTGATGACGATTGCTTCTACTGGTGAACTATTACATTTCTTATTTTGTATCCGGCGTCCCAGAGATTCAAACTTCTTGATGTGCGTGTCATGGGTCTTCTGGAATTCACAATCAGCCTTCTCCATTGTTAGCCTGTCCACTTTATCTCAGTCTTCTCCGGACATACATTTGGAAAGTGAGGGGTGGAGTTGTAGTAACCTCTCACTTATTTTCTGTAGATCATTGAAGGTCTTGTGGATTCTTTCTCGTAGTAGTGCTTGTTCTGTCCTAATCAAGATTCTACGTGCTGCAGCGGAGTCGATTTTCTTAAAAGACGCACGGCAAAACCCGAAAGTTTCTAGTGTTAGTTCTAATTTTAGTTCAATTAACACCGGCTGTGAAAGCCTTCGTACTTATTTTAATAAACTTATTTTTTTTTAATTTTTGGTTTTAGGTAGAATTATAACAATAACTAGTCATTGTGCATTAGCTTCATTACCTGGCTTATCGGTTTATGGAGCAACAAAAGCAGCCCTTCAAGCTTGGTCGGATGGTTTAAGAGTGGAAATGGCCAAATATGGTGTTAAAGTGTTAACATTTGTGCCTGGTTCTTTCGTTCATAGAAGTGGAATCTTAGGTAGACAGAGCACATTTGCTGATGAAATGTCCGAAGCAATGACTCAAGAGCAAAAGAAATTTTATGGAGATTATTTTCAACGATACAATATGTATTTGAATTCGATACCAACTCCGCAATGTCCTGAGAAAATCGACGATGCCAATTTGTATGAATTATTTGAATTAGCCTTAACTGATGTGAACCCGAAATCGATTTATTTAAATGAACCTTGGAGATATAAGTTTTATCATGCGATATTTAGATTTTCGCCATGTTTTATCAGGGATTATTTTATTGTTAAATTTATGGCGATGCCTGAGTATAAACCGCGTCCTGGTTTTTGAGGGGTTATCGTCTAGTGATTCATTTTTGCATATTTGTAATGTTTTCAATAAAACGATCAACATAAGTAGTTAAATAGACATTTTTTATTTAATCTTTTTTAAATGGAATATAACGGAGTTTCTTTATGGACATAGCATATCCCAAATTCACATTAGTATAGGTTCAATACAGATTTACATCGATTTTTGGGATATCTATATATTTTATATAAACATTATACACATTATATTAAAAAATATGATTCACACACTTTTTGCATGTCTATGGGGGTCTTCTCTACCTTGAACACCACTACTAGGAGACGTTGTTTCTTGTCCCTTAACAGTAAAAGTAACGTAGTATCTCTTATTTTGGTCCAAACGGTCTGTGGGCAGTGATATCACCTGTTTGTCATTTCCATGCAACAATTCCAATGTTACCGTTTTTTTCGGATGGATGTGAGGCAAAAATCCTTGCGGTTTGCAAGAATAACCAATTTTTGGAATTGTATGATGATCCATTTTTGGGACTAAAACAAATTAATATTTATTCTCCAGGAGCACAGCTAAACCCGATGTTTTTAGTTTTAACAAGTTAACGCCGAATAACTATTCAAACTAGAATTAACTTAGCACTATCACTAGAATTAGAAACATTCGAGTTTAGCCATACGTCTCTCAAAACGGCTAGTGTTAGTTTTAGAGATAATGCTAGTGTTAGTTATAGTATTCAGCGCTAGGTTGTTGCATATTTTTATTGAACTACATATATTTATTGTACTAAATTTAGAATTGGTCATTCTTGAGAGACGCACGGCTAGAACTAGAACTAGAAACATTCGGGTTAATGCAAATAGAGTTATGCACTTACATTATTTAAACTAATGTTTACCATTCAAATTATTTATTAAATTATTAATTATTTCATAACAGATTGTCCAGAAAATTTTGGATTTCGATTATCTTTGACAGTTTTGATTGCATAGATTTAACTTGTCTGCTTTGAAAGGCAAATAATTGATTTCCGTAACTGAATACTGACCGCTAATTTGTATTTATTGTTTTAGCACCGGTAATGCTCGTGCTGTATAACGCGAATAACTACAGAAGAATATGTACGCTCCAAATTACAGCTTGCTAAATCATAACAAGTCCAGAAAATTGCTGATCAAAAGCTAGTATTAATAGATACTTATCATTAATTATGCGTCCTACCCTAAATGAACCTGATTTGCTGGAGTTTTATACAAGTTTTGGTATACGGAGTGTTTCATTTACAACTCCCAGGCCAAGTATGTCTGGAATGGGTTGAAATATTGTAGTTTTGTAAGAAGTTGTTGCTAGAACTCGTAAATGAGTTCAGTCTTAAGTATATTTTTTATGGTACAAAAATAAAGATGGCGCTGCAATCAAAAGAAACTTTCCCTTCAACATAAAGTTTTTATTAGGTGCAAGTGATAGAACATCGAAAACTGTGCAACTTTCGTTATCAACGATGATTTGAAAAACTTAGTAGTTTCGAAGATATTTAGTATAATACTGAGACTATTAAGAAGATAAGTTAAATATGATTTTAATTTATGGTGAAAACGTTCATAAATTTATCCACAAACCTTACAAGTTTCGGAACATTTGAGAAACAGGAACGACAGAGAAAAAAACGAGTTCGAGATGATGAAAATTGCAATGGTCTTGCAAATAATAGATGACACCTCGCATAAATCATTGCAGCAATTAAGAGAACACGCAAATTTCTGTCACATATTGAATTTAAAAAACAAATAAATTTTTGCGGTATAAGTGCAATTTTGTTCAACATTTACAGCCAGGCGACGATATCCGTTGACTTCAGTTCTTGGCTAAATTTTCAGTTTTGGCATAAAGAGACAATTTTACCAATCAAATATCCAAGAATAAATGGTGCTGATGGAACCAATGTCAGTTTTAAATTTAACTGTCGATTGCTGAGTGGAGATATGGAACATTTCCAGGAACAAGCGTTTATCAGTCGAATAACATCTATTGTGTCCCATGTGGTAGCTGCAATTGTATGTACATAGGTCAAACCTGTCAATGGTTGAAAAGGAGATTGAGTAAACACAAAAGTGATGTCAAGAACATAATAGGGGGTTGTGCTTTAGCCCAACCCCCTATTATGTTATTATAGAACAGAACTGGATTATCTAATAAATTATCTAATCTTACCAATAACATTCGTCGTGCAGCGAAAGTCGTTTCCATCTGAATGGAATAATCGAATAATCGTATGCAAGCAAAATAATCGATATTGGTCTCAAGACAATCTTAGTTGGACCATATAAACAAATAACCTTATAATGAACAACTGTAGGTGTTAAAAAGACTGACGTGGTTTCAACAAGATGGCCACATAACGCACATATAGTGATTCAGTACCTGGACCGCAGGTATCCAGGACGATGGATTAGTACAAATAGTGTTGTAAGAGTATGTAATGTTGAATTGGTAAGACGATTCGGATTGTGCGTGCATGAAAATAGAAATAATTTTGCAGTTATTTTTGTTGTTCCAATTATTATTAAGGTGAAAAATTTATTTGGTAACCTAAAATGTAATTCTATTTTTTATTTTCTTAATTAGTTTTGTTATTTATGTCAGAAAATAATGTTGTGATCTTCTTGTTGGTTTATATGAATAATTTTATTTCAATTCTTTTCTTTTTTTAATGTTAAATATCTTCGAATCTACTAAGTTTTGAAATCAATTTTAATAAGGAAAGTTGCATAGTTTTTGATGCTCTATCACATGCACCTAATAAAAAGTTTATGATGAATGGAAAGTTTCTTTTGACTGCAGCACCATCTTTACTTTTGTACAATGAATAATAATAATACTTAAGAACTGAAGTCATTTACGTACTCTACTAACAACTTCTTACAAAACTAAGAAATCTCAACCCATTCCAGAGATACGTGACCTGGAAGTTTTAAGTGAAACATTCTGTATATGCTGTCCAGGAACAACCTAATGCTATCCGCCAGCATCTAGAACTAGCAGCTCTCCAATGTACCACAATATATAGCAACCTGAACAACATATTTGCTCTCAACTATGGGTGGGAAGCTCTTCCATACATATTCTTGAGTTATTCATCTAATAACATAAATCTAAAATAGCTAGATAGTAAAACATACTTGCAGTGTATTATTAGATGGAATTCGTATTTATGTACTATCCGTGCCAAAAGTCAAGGCCCCTCACTTTAGAGATCGATATCTTCGGAACCGCTCGATGAAAAAAATTGAAATTTTTTGGAGCCGCAGTTTTCTTTTTATAGCGCGTTAAATGAAAAAAGTACCCGATTTTTGACGGTGCCGGCAACTTTGTCCACTTTGCGATTTTTATCTCAAAAACTATCTGACTAAAAAATTCAACAGGTGGTAGCCTGATATGTTCTGATCGCCATACATTATATTTTCAAACACAATTTTAAAAAACTATTATCACAGTCAGAAAGAGCACTCCTTCAACTATCTTAATCCGGGTTTTATTTATTTTATTGAAAATTTTCCGCTCTTTCTAATGGTGTATAACACGTGGTGATCACGCGCTTGAAGAAGTACATTTTTGACCAAAAACTACTAAATTCACACGTTTTGGCAACTTTTAAACCTTGTTCGGGTCGATAACTTTCTTATGTAACTATCTTATCGAAAATTTTCTGCTTTTTGTAATGGTGACTAAAGCATGACGTCGATAGATATTGACCGACGAAACCCTGGATTAAGATAGTTGAAGGAGCGCTCTTTCTGACTGTGATAACAGTTTTTTTTAATTCGGTTTGATAATAATTGCACACTTGAAGTTTTGTAATTTTAAGATATTTTAAGTACAGAGCGGTGTTCTTCATTTTTTATTGATCTTAGTATCAACTTATCGGCAGACGAAAAGATAGATTGTTTGATAAAGGACTCTATTGTTGACTTCGGTCAGTAATGTTAAATATAAAAAGATTAAAAATTCCGAAGAATGAAATTTATTTGTTCTCAACTACTGGTTTCGGAAAAAGTTTCCGTCATCAGGTTGTTGCTACAAAACATGAGTAAAAATTTTTTTAATTTACAAAAACATAAACATGATAATTATTTACCGTCAATTAATAGCGGCTGCGTGGTATAATAATTTCGGATGTTAAGATTTTCCACTTTTGAATTTCTCCCAGCATTGTTAAATTTACAAAAAATTGTTACGATAAACTTACACTTTAAAATTATATTAACTGTCGAAAAGGAACTGGTATGTGCAACTTTTGGATTATTCTAAAATGAAAGATTTTCGGAAATAGGTTTAGAAAAGATAGATGGATAAAAAAAAGATAGTTTTAGATAGAGAAAGAATCAAGCTTTCAAATGGTGTATGTTTTTAGCTTTTCGCTATCTCTAATAATAAGGAAGATATCAGCTAAGAAAGTAGATACGAAATTACGGGTAAAAGTTTATTGCTTGGAGTTATTAGTTGTTCTGTTATTAGTTTTTCAATGTTATGTCTTTCTAATTCTTTTGGAGCGACATAAACGAATTATAAATTAAATCAGAAATAAGCTATGCAGGAAGAGGAGGGTTTCGACCAATCGGAAAAGATGATGCTGAATATGTGTGCCAGACGGGACGTCGCGCCTTTATCTTACCTACATAAAGAAATAAAGGCGCGACGTCCTGCCTGGAATACACACCAGCGCCATCTTTTTAGATTGGACGGAACACCCTCTCTCCTTGCACGACTTATTTCTATTTCTTTTTAATTTATAATTCGTTTCAATTGCTCTAAAAAAAATAGAGAGACATAACTTTGAAAAACTGATAATGGAATCCGACAAACGCAATTATTTACCATATTTTGTTTAAAACCGCGTTGAAATCCACCCATATGGAATATAGAAACAATAAAATATACCCTTCATTAAGGCTACATCAGGCTACCACGTATTCAAAGTTGAGCTTTTTTCGTCATATAGCTTTGGAGAAAAAAATCGCAAGGTGGACGAAGTTACCGGCAACGTTAAAAATTGGGTACTTTTTTCATTTAGCTCACGATAAAAAGAAAACCGCAAAATTCAGATATGTTGCGTAGAAATGTTCAGTGATTATAACAAACTTTACCGCCATTTTTTTCATGTAGTGGTTGTAAAGATATTGTACTCTAAAGTGAGTGCCTTCACATTTGGCACAGATAGTGGTCACCAACAAGCACCAACAATGCTCAATGAACAAGTTGAAGGAATTCTTGAATCTGAGATAAAGGAATTTTACAAAAAAGTATTAGAAGAGGGGGGAATCAGAGAAACAGCACAGTAAAGATAACTTACAAAAGACAAGAGGGAAACACAAGCAACTTTGGTTGTCTAAAAGTCAAAATAGTTAACTTCGTTTTTAAGTTATGAACAAGACGATATTTAAAGAAGATTAGGGAATTGTCAAAACTTGCAGATCCATCAAATCTATTTAGACATGACTATGTTAACGATTACTTATGTGAGAGATGATTTGCGAAGTGTAATTGTTGAGTGTTATTCAGCTGAGAGAGATGATGTGGCATTTATGGTCATGAATGGGATCTTTCAAACTGATTGTTTAGATTCGTTGAAACTAATTCGCCAAACGAGTTTATTATTATGATGGGAGATTTCAACTTTAATCAAACAGTTGTATTGAGACTAACTCTTCTACTCTTAGTTATCTCTTCCTAACATTTTATATTGCCTCGATACTTATGTTATTCTTCATTTCAGTACTCATACGTTGGCAGTTTGCTGCATAACGTTTATATCACAACTTAGTTTATGCTGCTATCAATGTTCATTTACATCTTCATGGGACTGAAGATTGACAGTTTCTCTTAGTTTAGGTCATAGTTAAGCAGGATGTATTTCTGTGTTAATTATGCTGACAGTCACTGTGTTGTGTATGATAAATTATGTTGTGTTTTGTATTTTTGGGTACTATTTTCTTTACTTTCTTGACTTTTTATGAGTACACTAAGGCCCGTTACTACCAAACCAATGCTATCTGTCAGTTAAGCTATCTATAAGATACAATTTATCTCGTAGATAACAGGGTCGTGCCTACTACCACCTCCATTTATCTCATAGTTAAGAAATTCTTGAGATAACCAAGGAATCTAGGGTTTTTTGGTCTATTATGCTAAATTGACCACTCTATGTGGTCAAAAGACCTACTATTAGGTATTTTAACGATATTCTAACTTGTTGTAACCTTAAAATTAAAATTTGGAAATGGAGACTGAGAAAAGGCGAAATTGGTGGTTCCAATTTCATCAAAGAAGAATGCGAACATCTTCTTGAATTTGTTATCAAACTGAAGATGCCAATTGTACACTCACTCCTGCAAAATCTGCTATGGATAGCAACATGTTACCTATTGCATAAAATCGAAGAGTCAGCAACAAACGGTTTGAAGGAGGTGAATTTGATGAATTTTACTCAACAACAAATTACTTACGTCATGGATGGAGGTTTTATTACATCTTCTATTTCGAATTTTATTATATTTTATACGTCAGTATAAATTCTATTTGAGGTTAGGTATCCGCAGTTATCCCTTAGATAGCAACTTATCCGACACCCAATCCACGAGTTACAGATATTTCAAAAGTTATCCCTTGAATAGCGGTATCTATAAGATAAATACAGTGGTAGTAACCAATTTTTAAGCTATCCGATAGATAACGCTATCAGAGACTTTAACTATGAGTGGTAGTAGTGGGCCTAAGAGAATCACTTATCTAAATTAATACAGAAAGCTGATTAAAAAGGAGAACAACCAAAAATAGCAGCAAATGTTCTATTTAGTTAGTATAACCCAACAGGATTCAGAAGATTGTGGAAAAATTCAGGAAAAAATTGTGTTTAATTGATTATCAGCTCAAAACAGACATCGAACCAAACTCAAAATTATGAACACCTGCCAGATTAAAAGGAGACTACTTACTTAATTAACTATATAACTATTTACTTACGATATGCTGCACATGGAATTCCAGTATAAGCATGTGTAGCATGAAGACATCGATGTGTACTTTGAGTACAAAGTAACGGATTGTCGGGCATTTCAGGTAACCCCCTTAAATGTTCCATATCGCTTTTTTGTAATTTCCTCAATCCAAGATACAAAAATTTTTCAAAACTCTTAAACGAATAATCCTCCGGTACGTATCTCCCAGCTCCAACGGTCGACGCACAAGAATTATGATACTCATCAATCGCCCTTTTAACCAAAACTGCTTCGTTATGTTGTCCCGACCGGATTTGAAGTCGTTTTAATTCAAGGAGGTGTTGAAAAATTTTCCTCTCCAAATGATACCGGCGAATATTCGATTGTATCGTTTGAGTAACCGACGACATATTAACCCCGCGTTCTGTCATATTTTTCCAACGCGGAATTTTAGTACTTCTTGGACTCGGTTCGAAACCAGAATCCATTAAGTTACTACTTTCATAATCACTTCCTGCACTTCTTGAATCTCTGTTCATCCGTTTCCTTAACCTTCTTCGTCTCGCGGTTGGAGTACCATCTTCGATGTCGGATGGTGTTCGATCGTTATCGCTGTAAGCTGAAGTAATTTTTCGAATTTGATTTAAACCGTTTTCTCGGGGAAGATTAGGTAATGAAATTTTATCCAAATCATTTTCACCACATCGATCTAAATAACGATCACTTTTTGACAAATCCTTTCTTAAATTAAAAATTGGTATTTTAGTTTTCTTTTTATCTTCGGCTATTTTTACTTCGTCTAAAACTGTAAAACTTTTATGTTTTCTTTTTTCTGTATCACTAGATGTACTTTCTTCAGCACTTGAATGTTCTTCACTATATTCTTTATTATTTTTTTTTATTTGTTTACTTTTCGGTATCGATTTCGTGCCATTTTTGTGTATTTTAACCGTTTTTGTTTCTTCCAATTCTTGATTTGTTACTTCTAAAATTTTTTCGATCGCTTTCTTTGGAATCTTCTTCGAAATTTCTTCTTTACGGGTTTTTGTTGAATCTTTCGGTTTATCTTTCTTAACGCTTTTCACTTTCTTATCTCGCACACTATCTAATGGTTTAGTTTTTTCTTTCGGGGTAGTTCTCGGTGTTTCTGATACTTTCCTTTGCTTCTTTTCCTTCAAAAACTTTTTGTGCTTTCCATTTTTGTCTTTAGATTCCATACCAACTGCAGTAACACCTTCAGTTTCTTTTTGAACATCATCATTTTCATCTTTCTTTATAGCACTATCATCTTTTATTACTTCTTCAACCATTTTTGCTGATAAATCATCTTGTAGATTGTCATTTTGATCTATCGTATCTTTTGAAGCTTCTTTTGGTTCTATATTTTCTAATATAGAAACTTTTTCAGCTAATTTTATTGTATCTGCTGTACTTATTGAAATATCTGATGTTTCTTCTTTTATGGCAGAGTTATCAACATCTGCTTCATCATTTTTTTCCACTTCAATATCTTGAAGTTTTTCATCGTTTTGTTCATCAATTTTATTTTCTTTTTCAGTATCTGATGCTTCTAATTCAGTATGTTGATTACTTATTTCAATTAATTCATTACTTTCGAGCCCTTCTTGCTCGTCTTCTTCATCTTTTTGTTCTTCATTTTGCTCTTGTTGTTCTTCTTTTTGCTCTCCAATTTCTTCTTCTTTTTCTTCTTCTTTTAATTCTTCCTCTTTTTCATCATCTTTTTCTTCTCCATTTTCTTCTCCCTTTCCCTCCTCATTTCCATCTCCTTTTTGCTCATCGTTTGTTTCTTCATCACCTTGCTTTATTTCTGAGGACACTTCTACGTCTTGTACACTCTCCTTCTCCACATAAAATTCTTCAGTTTCTGCTTTCTGCGCCTCATCTTCTATACTCGCCATTTCTTTCTCTTTATTAACTTCAACTTCTTTCTCAACCTCAATATTTCCTTTCTCCATTTCTTCTTTAAGAAGTTCCAATTCACGCTCCTGTTGTTTCAACATTTCTTCTTGCTCTTTTAATTCCAATTTTTTCTCCTTCAATTCTTCTTTCTGTTCTTTCAATTCTTCTTTTTGCCCCTCAATTTCTAACTTTTGTTCTTTAATTTCTAGTTTTTGTTCTTCAAGTGCTTGTTTCTGTTTTTCCAATTCTTGTTTTTTAGCTTCAAGTTCTTCAGTTCTTTTGGTTTCAATTTCCTTCAATCGAACGTTGTCGATTAACGGTGATTTCGGTGGATGATGAACAGCGGCTTCGACGATTAATTCTTTATGTTCACTCTCATCGGCGCTTGTATAAGAAATTTGATCTTGTTGTTTCATTTTTGTCGCATCTTCTACGTCTAATTTTTCTTGGATTTGAATCGCTTCTTCAGTTATGCTTTTGGCGGTTTTTTCTATTGTGTTGGCTAATGTTTTGATTTCTTCGATGTTTTCATTAATTGTTAAAGTTTTTGTTGGGGTACTTTCATTAGGTTTAGTTTGGTTATTGTTGTTGGTATCGTTGTGAATTTGAATTGGTTCTTTAACGATTTCTGGTAATCTTGCATCATCAACTTCTTTACTTGTTTTGGATTTCTTTGTAGTAACAATTGGAGAACCATCACTTATAATAATTTCTCCATTTTTTTCAATGTTAATTCCCCCATAATTGTTGGTAATCTTAACTTCGCTACTGTAGGTAACATTTTCTTTAAATTTTCTATCATTACCGCTTTGTTTCTCACCTGAACTTTTCCTTTTAGCACTTTTCTCTCGCTTCAAATCCGAAGAAGACGCTTTAATCTCTTGATCTTCGTCCTCTTTACTGCTTGAAAACGTCTTCTTCTTTTCGTATTTATAACTCAACTTTTTACGATGTCTTTTTTTGACGTGTTCCTCCTTTTCTTCGCCTTCCCGCTCGCTATCGGTGGTTTCCCCAAACGTTACTTCTTCCCGAATATGAACATTTGCGGTTCCATTAGGGAGCTTCATCTTTGAGGTGCTTAATCTAATCGAGGGGACACCCCCATGAACTTGGAGATACTTCGCTGTTGATCGAAACCCTCTTTGGAGGGCACAATCTAAAGGGGTCATAAAATTATTTTTTGACGTCCGCAAAACCGGGTTAATTTGAGCACCAGCATCTAATAAAATCTACAACAAACAAAGACATCAAATAAATTAATTTTTTTAACAACCAACATACTTTACACATATCCGAATTATCATTCAACGCCGCTAAATGCAAAGGGCACCTTCCATCATTATTTCTAGCATTAACTTGACTAGGCCTAGCTTCCAACAACCACTTCACCAAATCCCTTCTTCCAGACGCAGCGGCTTCATGCAAAGGAAAATCACCTCTCGCGTTTCTTAACCATAAATTAGCACCATGACTTCCAATCATCTTAACAGTTTCGAATTGCCCTTTAGCGCAACCGCAATGTGCCGGGCTTCGTCCTTTGCGATCTTGCCGATTTGGGTCAGCACCATGAGTTAACAAAAGAGCTGTAGCATCCGCATGGCCTAAAGTAACCGAATAATGAAGGGCAGTACACCCATTACTATCAATAACATCCGGAGACATCCCACAAAGAGTTAACAGAGTATCAATACAATCTGTATGCCCACGAGAAGCAGCGCAATGAAGCGCTGTTAACCCATCTTTATCTGGTGCATTAACCGTAGATCCAGCTCTAATTAGAGCTAACACAGCTTTAGTTGATCCCGCACTGGCAGCCCATAAAAGAGGTTGCCTTCCATCGCCATCTTCAACATCAACTTTAATTTCGCGGTGTTGAAGAAGCGCTTGGAGAACTTGGATACCAAGAGTCGAGTCTTTATCCTAAAATAAATGAAAATAAAAGTGTTTTAGTAATCGATAGTTCTTTGACCTAGTGTGTCTACATAAATAAATTAAAAATGAGGTTGTATTCGTAATCAATATTGACGTATCCGTTATTTTAACGTAAGCGAAGCTTACCCCACCGCACATTTGCGCTGCGTAATGTAATGGATAACCTCCGTGAACGTCGGGAGTGGAAACTGGAGCACCTGCAGCTAACACCGCCCTTAATGCCCCTGTTTCGCCACATACTGCAAAGAGAATTGCACAAAAATGGGTTAGGGAAATATTTGAAATCGTAAAAACAGATTAATGCGAACGATACGCGTATGTACGTTCGTGATTCACGTTTCTTATCACAAACAGATCGACAAACTGGAATTATGGATGAAACGTGTACATCACGAAATGTAATCCTAATTATTAATATTTTTTTTATTTTTATGTAAGTTTTTGATTTATTTATATTAAATAGTTTTTTCTATTAAAATTGTCTCTTAGAATTAAAGAATGAGCATAATTACGCGACTGAAATGATTGCAAATAGAGCTTATAAGGTTAAAGAGTGTGTTGTGTTGGAAATGAAATTAACTAAACCATTAATCACGAATAGAAGTTGAAGTTAGAAAGTTAAATATTGAAATGAATTTTGATAGGCTGATATCCGAGGAGAAATGTTCCTGGCAAGCACAACCTATACGACATACATAGCTAGTTTTAATAGAAACCGACTAAAGAAACGCTTAACCTTGTAATCAGTAGCACATGCTTCGACCACAAAAGAATACACAAGGGAACCTGTAAAGTACCAGAAAGCTAGCAGAAAGATGGTAATACAATTGAAGAGCCTGGTGCAAGAATGGAATAAGTAACAATATGTAAATTGTTCAGTAAAGGCAAAAAACTTTTTTAATTTCATGTTTGTGTTTAAAGTGATTATTTGATTTGTATAGATAAAGGTCCGTTTTCGTAAGGACAAATCCGGCCGACTTGTCGGCCCGACATGTTTGTTGGGCGACAAGTTGTCAAAATTAACGTGTGTTTACGTAGTTACTTGTCGGCAACCGACATGTCGTGGAAACGATCTGAAAATCGAACTCTGCAGTTAGCATCAAGATGGCAGACGATCAAGTCGAACAAGTAGTGTCAGCTTTCGTGGTGTTGGCAGGAAGTCTTGCAATAAAGTTATCAAAACCACAAAAGAATTCACTTCGAAAACGCAAAAGGTGGTATATTAGAAGCTTTTTAGCGAAAAGACGTTTCGAAGGTGCATACAGAACTTTTTATTTTATTGAAATGACTTGCAACATGGATTCCCAACATAATATATGATCACAACACAAATTAACGACTGTTTATGTAGGGACAAATGAACGGTGACCCGACATGTGCGGTTGATTTTTGTATGTCATTTTACTGTCCCAACAAGAAATGCATTTCGTTTACGTTATAACCGACAAGTCAGCCGACATGTTGTGTCCTTACGAAAACAAGGCTTAAGAATGACAATTTTATCTGAGCAAATGTCAGTTTTTCCATATATTGTGAAATCATAGTTAAAAAAACAAATTGTGGTGCAAGAAGGGAATATGTGAATCCATATTTAATTTTTTTGGTGAGAGGTTGGAGAAAGGATCATATAACATTCAAAACTTTTTATTATTTAAAATAAGGTGAACAAACACTTTTATCAACTAAAATAAACAAAACAATTTTTAACAACACGTCATAGATAATATAGATATCAAAAATCTGCCTTAGAAGAGCTGTAGGTGACTGAATCGGAATGTGAGTTTTTATCACTTGTCAGCGAACGATTATTATTATTACTCGTTACCGCGACCTATAAGATCTATTGTAACTTTAGCCCTCCAAAAATTTAGGGCGAATGTAGGTCCTTGATGAATCTTAGTATTGCGCCAGGGTCTTGTACCTTTATGTCGGTAGGTGTCAAAAGAGCTTTACCGAAAATTTTGTGTCTTATTGTTAGACGGCCTCTGGCGACGCAATTACACAGTATATGTTCAGCTGTTTTTGACTCGTCGTTGCAAAGTCGACAAGTTTGATCCTCAGCTTGTCCAATGTGGAAGAGGTGGTATTTTAGGGGCGCATCAGGTAACCTGAGAACGTCCTTAGATCCCCTTTGCAGAGGCATAAAACTTCTTTGGTTTTGTTTTGCGACGGAGTTATCATACTCTTCGCTTGTCTGTGACCTGGAAGTTCTTTCCAGCGTAAGACTATCTTTGAGGCCTCCCAACTGTTGATTATTTGTTTTAGGTGGCTTTTTTGTAGTCCACAACCAGGTTGGGGTCCAATGATTGCCCTCAATGTTACTGTGACCTGGGACCCACCATAGGGTAACACCATTGCTCTTACCGAGTTCTCTCAGGTTGCTGGTACACTCTCTGATCAGTGCGGAGTCACACGTGTACGCCTACATTTCCTTTAGGGCAATGCACCTTTCTCTCCCTTTTGTAGGTTCAAAGCGGTGCAGAAGTTTATAGCAAGAACTTCTGCTTGAAAAATGGTTATGTCCGAGCTGATGGGCAGTTTAATGTGGCTAGTTGGACCACTGATGCCCATGCTTACTACGGATCTAACTGTCTTTAAAGCATCGGTGTACCAGGCTAGGGCTCAGCGAACGATAGAAATACATTTCATTTTTTCCAGATTATTAACCTGGATAAATATGAATCTTGTTTGTTCTGGTCTGCCAGGTTATTAAAAGCCGTTATAATTTCCAGCTTTTCCTCTTCCGAAAAATTTTTAACGCATCGTTTGCTGCACTTGCAGTCATTGCCTTGCTCTCTTTCTGGCACAAGCTTCCCGTTGGTGTGGACTTGTAACATTCTCCTCTAGCCCTTTTAATTTTTTGTATATTTCGTTTCCATTTTTCCACATTTCTTTTACGACCGCGCTTCCATTTTACCCTATCTTCCTCTTCAGACCTTTCACTATCCATTTTAGTAAAATTACATTCACTGGAAGAGCAAAACATTTCTAATGACATTATAAAATATTAATTTTTCAGTACTACCAACATAAAAAATTTCAGTAGTGTCTTCACGGTACAAAAAAGTCATTATTTATGTGGGGTGGGCAAATAATAGGATTCTTTAGTGCAATAACGGTATAAACCCCACGTAACTTATCCCATTATTGCACCCGTCTTGAACATGGGATAAGTGATTTTCTCTGACAATTTTGATTCAGTTGGCAAAACATAATGCGTATTTATGTTAAGCGATAAATACGAATTTTTTTAACCGTTTTTACCAAAAATCCCATTTTCTTAAAATTTGGCCTATATCCCCTTCTTGCACCAGACTCTTCAATTGCATAAAAAGTAAAACCAAATCATCGCATTCCACATGTCCCACCCTGTATCAGATCACATTGTTCTCCATATAACATTTTTTTGATCCTTACTTTAAACGACGGCAAGCTCAACATTTTCAATGATGGGGTAAGTTAAAATTTAATAAATCGCACGCTCAAAGAGAGCAGATCATGTGCATGTATCAAAAAGAAGAGCTTTCTCTATAACCGGTGCGTTAAGACAAGACGGGGGTAGATTGTGATTCTGATCACTACCTACTAATAGCATGTTTAAGACAACGCATCAGCAATACGCAGAATTGCACGGACGAACAAAAAGTGAAATGACCCATACAAATGAAAGTCAATAAGCACAAATTATTGTCTAATGACGTCGAGGAGGAGTACAATATACTAAAGGATAGCGAAATAATACATCATAAAATATACATCTTTTACACTGGTCATGTAGAAAAAACTTACAAAGAAAATAGAAAAATACAAAGCACACAATACATAGTAAAATCACATGCAGATCATCATTCTATGAATTGATGTTGTCACGACCGACGCCCAATGCCACAAAATCCCTTTCAAAAATTCAAATTCAAGGAACTCCGAATAAGAATAGAAACCTCTCAACAGCAGAAATTGCTTTGCAAACTTGCTCCCAGGTAAAAGTGTAACCGTTAAAGGTAATTTATTGTAAAACTTGAGCGTAGTAACATCTACACCTTCTGTGATTTATAGAGTCTGCAAAATTTAGGTTTTAGCTTATGATTGTAACGGGTTCTGTAGCTGTGTATATCTTTGTGGGCAGTATATTTATCTACATTGTTGTGCAAGAACAGGAAATGTTAGTATTTTCGATCTATAAAGAATTCACGGCACTCGTCTCGATACTTCAGACTCCATATGACACGAATGGCACTTCGCTGCAGTCGAAAAACCCCAGACCAACCCGAGCAGTTTCCCCAGACCAATAGAGAATATGATATATGAACTGAATATGAAAATGAACTGGGAAGCGATATATGCCGTTGCTTCTATTGATGATAAGGTTAATTATTTTATCGATGTTATAAATTCCTTGTTTGATGTCCATGCAACCCTCGTTATTAGAAGTCGTAAGAGGAACTCTTTACCGTGGATAATAATCCACGGTAAAGAGAGTATTGCCAATATAAGGAGCAGGAGATGATGGCTCTTCGAGAATCTGCTTTAAGGCGTTATAGATAGGAGAACGAGAAATCATACACATTTTCAATATTACCATGAGAAAATATTTTTGTGAAATCTATTGTTGATGTGATCAAGCATGACTCGGATTTATTAAATTTCTATCATACCAGTCAATTAAATCCTGACAGTACTCCTTTTACCTTACAGCAAAGAGGCGACCGTGGATTGTATTGAGCTGTTTCTGCTCTTGTTTAAGTCTAGTAGTGTTGGTTCGGATGATATTTCTCTGGATATGGTTAGGTTGCGTTGTCCTCGTTTTTTGAATGTTTTTTGTCATATTTTAAACATTTGTCTAAGAATGTCGTCGGTTTATCGTAAGGTATGGAAATGTGGTCTGGTGACCTAAAACGAAACCAGTTAAAGAGTTTAAAGATTTGAGGCCAATTATCATCCTTCCGGTTTTGTCTAATGTGTTAAAGAAAATTATGGCGGAGCAATTAAGATGTTTTTTAGATACATATAATATACTCCCTGACAAATAATCTGGTTTCAGAAGTCAGCATGGCTGTGAAACATCACTTCTTTACTTAACTGATAATATACAGTGTCCGCCAAAAAGTTAGCAACAGTTTCATTGCATCTACTTTCTAAAATTTAGTTTGTATTCATCTCGATCTTTCGATCTAAAATATTTTCAAGGTGGTCGCCACTTCTGGTCCACCGTACCACAAAAGTAGACCACAAAATAGTTATTTTAAATGGAATGCTATGATTTTATTACATGTTCAAATTCTTTATACAAAAATAGGTTGAGTTTGATAAGGATTATTGATTTATTATTGGACTACTTTTCATTTTTCAGTTATTTTCATTTTCTTTTAGCAGTTATCAATGTGTCTTTTTTTAAATCGTATTTCTCAGCCACTGTACAAGCGAGAAAGTTGATAATTGAAAACGTAATTACTTGTACCGGTCTATATTATACATGCTTGTCAAAAATGGAATTACATAAAATGTCAAAAATTGTTTTTATTTGTTATTGGTTTAGCCGTAGAATTTTCACGTTTGTATTGTTATTGTTTCAGAATCGTAAATGCAATGGAATAAAAAAAACGGACGTTGGTTACTTTTTGGCGAACATTGTATATAGAGCTCTTGATGCTGATAGATCTGCCGTGCTTGTATTACTAGATTTTAGTAAAGCATTTGATATCTTGAATCACGACCTTTTATTGGTTATTTCTAAATTTGTTGGTATATCTGATTACGTTATTTCTTTGTTTAAGAGATATCTGTTTGATAGAACCCAGGCGCTTAAAGTGAAGTTATTGTATTCTGATTCTATTAAATTTGTTGCTGATGCTCTGCAGGGATGTATCCTTTAGCCTATCTTATTTACAATCTATACCAACAATTTATTCTTAAAGTTAAAGTATTGTTCTTATCATCTTTATGCTGATGATTCCCAACTTTATCTCGATTTCTTGCCTGGTGACCGATCGGAAGCTTGTGATAAAATAACGGGGGATTTAAATCATTTATGTGTGGAGATTAAGAGACATGCTCTTTTGGTCAACCCTGACAAGACTCAATGTATTTCATTTATTAAAAAGGGAAGTTTCTTTGTTAATAAAGATGATATTAATATTAAGATGCTTAGAGTACAGTTAATACTAACGAATTCGCTTAAGAATATGGGTCTTGTCATTGATGATTTGCCTGCGTTTAGTGAACTTATTAATTTATTATGTAGGCGTGCTTATTGTTCCCTAAGAAGTCACTACTGCAGTAGGATCTTTTTATCGCAAGGTCTGAACCAACTGCTTTGTGATTCTCTTGTGTTGTCTCACTTTAATTATTGTGATGCCGTATTTTTTGTTTCATGTTTATCCCGTGTCTTCATTTTATGTATAATTTTCTTCTGTTCTGCTCTTGCACCCATTGAACTGGAATTGTGTATTTGTTAATTGATTGATATTTCGTTGTTCTTTCTGTATTTGTGTCTTGGCTCAATAAAGTATTATTATTATTAACCTTCGATATGTTGTGTTGCTGCATGTGGAAGAGATCAGAACTGTATCAGACTTCTTTTGCTCTTTCTTATATTTACTCCTTTACACAGTTACTCCTCCTCTTTACTGTGAAAAATTCAGATACCATCTGAATTATTACAGGAAAAGCTTTCTGCATAAGAATAGTACCTATGATCTATTGTCGAAGATTTTGAAATAGTCGGTGTAGATTGAGTTAACCTGGGAGTATACTGAACCTGCATTGCTATTCTAGTAACTAGAATGAACGTAATGCAGTAAATAGAGTGGGTAAAGTCGAGGTTCTGATGCTTAAAGTCTGGTACTTATCGCCTAAGACATGGTAACCCCACAGAATCTCTATAGAAAAGCGAAAGCTCATATGAAGCTTTCAGTTACTTCAAAAACCTTTCTGTACCTTTAAATACTAAGCCCAGTGATGCTTCCTTGCACAATGAGGTCGAGGAACATAATGAAATGATGTATTACAATGACTAAAACCTTTTGTATCATTTAATTTTGTTAAGGAAATACTTTATCTTAAGATTTTATGCTTCATAGTGTAATAAGCTTTTCTTAATTGGATCTAACTTAAGCAAAGGTACAAAACTTGAAGTTATAATCTATAATTTTATCATATGAAGTAAAGTTGCATCAAAAAAAGTTGTTAATATTAAAAGAATGAAAAAGATTCGATGAATAACGTATGTTAGTCAGTGGTGATTACCCTCATTTGCATCGAAATGTAATCTACTGGTAATTGCAACTGGCTACAATCTATGCACGCGAAGTGACATATAGAAATGGCCCTAAAGTTAACCCGGATCGCCGTTTCGTATCAAAAGGCGTTTATTTTCCATTGTCTTGCCACCTACTGTGGTGGGAAGCACTATTTATATAGGTGAGTCCCGATGTTCTTGCAAATCGGGGCGGTCGATATCTGACGTCATTGCGGTCAACATTTCAAGGGTATATAGCTTGACCAATCGATTCGGTTTAATGATACCTTGATTGATAAGGTCAACGAATTGTCCATCAAGATGGTTTCGATTTTTAGTAATTAAGTGATTACTTACCGGTAGCCCAATGAACGACGGTGTGTTTTTCACTATCAACAGCGTTAATATCCGCATTATTGGCTAGTAAGAAAGTAACCAAAGGCATATTTCCGGCGATCACGGCGAGATGAAGTGGTGTGAATCCATCTTCGTCTCGTGAATCGAGAAGATCAGGAGCGGCCATCACCAAAAGATCAGCTGCTTGGGCTGCACATTTATTATCACTCGTGCAACAATAATGTAGGGCTGTTTTACCCGATCTATCTACTTTTGAAATCGTTTCCGGCTAAAACAAAGAAGTTATCGTAATTAATCAAATTTGAACTTACAAGTTACCAGTCTTATTCATTGTATATCAGTCGAGATTATATAAAAGTTATCACAGTTAAAAAGAAGCTAAAATAAATGTTCGCTTTACTCTGATGCTATTTCAACATTGAACACATTACGGCATTGTCTACGAAACAGTGTGGTTGCTATGGCGTTGAGAATCATTATTTACTAAAAAGCTTAAACGTGAAGGAAATGCGCGAAAAGATTTCAATTCAATTTTAAATTGCTTTTTCAAAATTCATTCATTAATAAAAAGATACAAAACAATTTGTGTTATTAAACGATTAATTAACAAATATTTCAGTTTGATTAGTTTATGAAGAATGAATTAATCTTTAACGTAACCTTTAAAAAAATAAATTTTATAAAAATGGAATCAAATCAAACACCCGCAGTGACCCAATTTAAAAAAAAATCACTTCAGCATTGTAATTGCTAACCACCACCAACCCATTACAAACATAAAAAAAATAAAACATCCACTAACTCAAACCTAAAACAAGATAAGTACCGGATAAACTAAAACCAATTTGAATTTAAATGAATACCTCCAACAAAACCAACCCCTATTTTAAAACATTTTAAACTTACACTCTCTACACGATGTAGTAACGCTGAGAACTAAAGTTTCGTGTCTGGCAACCGAAACGGGGTAGTGCAAGTGTTCTACTTACCCGGCGAAGGGCTTCTAGGAGCCCCCGTTTCTCTTTCCCTTAACACACTAACCTGAACACGCAAAATCCGGCGCACTTTTTCGACGTCACCTTGTTGGCAGGCATACATTAACGTCGTGACGCCTTTCGGACTTGCCACCCGCGTTTTTTCTTTTGAAGTCGAAATTGGCGGAACGGTGTTCATGATGGTACAAAAAGAAGTCGTTGTTGGTAAAATTGAATGTTTCCGACGCTTCCACCATTTTTGTTTGATGACAAAAATGGTTTCTTCATTATGTGTGATCTAAAAAAAAATTATTATTGTATAATATTTATAAGTAAAGAATAGACTAAAAAAAACGAACGATTTTTCGAATCATCAGCATGTCTGAAACGGTTGCCGATAATAAATTAATTAGAGTGGCCTATACTCAACTTATTCGTATTTTACCATAACATTAACAGACATGTTATTTCAGTTATTAAAAAAAGATATTATAGTAAAGTGATATCTGCGACCTAGATTATCAGTTATCGCGAAAAAGACCTCAATGAGATAAAGTCGTATGCTCGTTAACCATGCTTCATTCAAACACAAATTGAGTCGAACTGACTAATTTTTCTAAAGGAGAATGGTGAATGTATTTCCAAAACTAGAGCAGATCAGAATAGAGCTAAAGTAACTGTTTTGCCAAAAGCAGGAGGTGTTAAAAGAGAACGATAGCTATGTTTTTAAATATAGAGGAAAGCTGGAACCGTTTTTCCAAAATCAAAAGTGTAAAAGGTGTTTCTTTATGATACCAGAAAAGAACGGGAGTTGTTTTGCCTAAACCAGAAGAGAGCAAAGGGTATCTTTATCACTAAAAATAATGTTTGAAAGATTACAAGCTTCAAACTCTTATGATCAACAAAAAAAATATTGCTGTCTTAGAATTCAACAATTTGAATGACAAGATCGCAATATTCTATATTACGCCGCGGCCGACGTGGCGATAAAGTAGCTGACAGGAACACAGGTTACTTGTTATGGAAGGCAAATAAACAATTAAGAGACCAATTACTCCTCCACCAATCAAGTTGGAAAATGGTAACTGGGCCAGATATATGTAATAAATAAAAGGCAGGGCAATTTGCTGATCATCTAGAAGGCACGTTTAAATTCAATAACAATGATGGCAAAACTAGAGATGGAAAGAACCAATCCAAACGTCGCCTAGAATAGTCACAACAGAGATAAAATATCATAAATCTGTTCCTTTTGTGGAAAACAGGTGTTATTTATTCTCATATCATTTGTAGCGAAAATATCGATTAGAAAATACATTAAATACTTCCCCCAGCTTCATCACATTGGGTTCATATCAACTGAAAACTGATCATAATATTGCTGCGCCTCGGCTGCAAGCGGCCTCGGTTCTATTTAAGGTCGCAAAAGTATGATTCTTCATAATCCATTTGGTTTTGTAAGTTTTATCATTTTAAATTCAAGGAACACTTCATGGAATTGTTAAACGTAAGTGATCAAGATGAAATTAAGTTACCGGCGCCTATACTATAAGGAACAGATAAACATGGAGGAGTTGGCTTGGGTTAGAGAAAGCTCCCGGTCAAAACAGAAGTCATAAAATATATGGGTTCACACAGACGAGAAGTATTACTACTTATACTGCAACAAGTATGGCAAAAAGAAATTTCACCTAAAGATTGGCAAGCGGCACTAATAGTACCAGTCCACAAGATAGGAATAAAAAAGATTGCAATAATTATAGAAGAATTACGTTCTTAAGTACGACTATGCAGATTTTAGAACAAATAATAGATGGAAGAATAAAAACTACAATAGAAAAAATCCTGGAAGAAACGTAATGCGATTTTAGGAAGGGCAGGAGCATCTAAGACCATTAATAAAATATCACCATCAAACAAATAATATAGAAAAATGTGCAAAATAATGGAAATATTTACCTGGGATTCATTGACTTGGAAAAAGGTACCGAGACAAAAGCTATGGGGAATATTGCGAGAAAGAGGCATTAATGGAAAGATTTTGAATATTATAAGGTGTATGAGAACAACACAGTGATTTATATAAATTTAAAGTCAAAAGAATTCATGACTCAATTAGGTTTTAGGCAAGGCGGAGGATTGAGCCCAACCTTATTTATTACGTATAAAATTACTTGTTGATTATAGAAATATACAAACCGTTGAAGTACTAGAAAGAGCATTCGCGAATGACGTGGTTATTCTAGCTAGAGGCGAAAAAGAACTAAATAAAAGTTTAAATAAACAGAATGAGACTACAAAGGATTTTGGAATGAAGATGAACAAGTCAAAAACTAAAGTTATGGTGATAGGTAGTAATGAAAGGTGATTGATGGAACGAATATTGAACAAGTTACGCATTTCAAGTACTTTGAGATCGAAGTAGACAACCACGGAAATCAAGAAAAAGAGACACTGTGATATCTTATATATAGGAAAACGAAAATAAACATACATAAAGCGATATATAGACCTATCTTAACTTTCGGTTGTGAAACGTAGGTGCTAACGAAAAAAGAACAGAGTAGATTGCTGGCTGTAGAGATGATATATCTGAGAAGAGTAAAGAGGGTAACGAAGAGAGACAAGATTAGGAATGATGGCATAAGGAAAGAGTTAAATATTGAGGCTCTGAACGAATGCAGCATACTAGACAGGTGAATGATAAGGTAATAAACAAGATAATCACCAAAAGAGGAAAATCTGTAATGGAAGCGAAAAGATTAGCAAGAAATAAGAAAATGTGGGCAAAAGTCGTGCAAAATATTCCCGAAAAATATTGAAATTGTCTATTTTACAAACTTGCGAAAAAACCGAAAAGATTGAAATATTGAAAAGACGGAGAAAAAAATTCCAATTCCGACAAAATTGTCATCAAAGACATGTAAACGAGCCGAAAACCTTCATATACAAGTAGTATGACTCGAAACGTGTTTATTTATAAAACATTTATCATTTCTCACCTTTATAACTTTTTTATGCAATAAACACTACAATATTTTTAAAAAAATATTTTATTATGTTCAAAATACGTGATGACACGAATTATTTAGTGTTGAATCCTTTCAAATTAATAATATAGGTTGATGTATAAGAAATACGAAAATTTTCATACATTTTATGTCAGCGTATTCGCTCGAAGGTTAAAACAAGTCTGAAAGATAAAATTAATCTAGTTGTTCTACTAAAAATCACAGAACAAATAGATGATGAATTAGAAATTTTTGTAAAAAATGTGCAACAGTTAGTATGGGCAAATACCTTTATCTTAACCCCAAGAACAGTAGGAAATAATTTTCCAAAAGTAACAAGACAACTATACTGACTAATAGGTGAAAAAAGAAAATTGAGAAAAAAATAATGCTATACATAATCCCAAAACGGAAATGACAAAAATAAAATTACTCATTTTCTCCCCATCATGTTGGAAAATGGTAACTGGACCAGAAATAATAAACAAAAGGCAGAGATATTTCCCAATCATATAGAAGGTACGTTCAACCCCAATGATAATGATGGCAAAGAACAGGAAAGGAAAGGACAAATTCAAAAGGAAGAACGAATAATCTTAACGTCGTCTAGATAACAGAGATAAAAGAGAGTATAAATCTTAAAGAAGACAGCAGGATCTCATAACAGGAGAGCTACTAAAAATACTACCAAAAAATCCATAAATTAATTGTATTCAGCCTTTGCGAGGTAGCAGAAGTTATTATGATTGCGAAACCGGTAAACTTCCTAATGAAGTGTTTTCTACAATCTTCTTAAACGTAGCAAGGCTTTTAGCATAGGCTTTTAACAAAATTTACCATAAGGGTTTGAACTACAAGCTAGGAACTTACTCCCTTATGCAAGACAGAGAGATTTTTGAATTATATAGAAGGTACGTTCAAACCCAATCACAATGATGGCAAAGAACAGAGATGGAAAGAACAAATTCAAACGGAAAGAAGAATAATGTTGACGTCGTCTAGATAACAGAGATAAAAGAGAGTGTAAATCTTAAGAAAGCAGCAAAATCTTATAACAGAAGAACTACTAAAAATACTACAAATTAAAAAAAAATTCTCAAAAGAAAATTCTCAAATTAAGCTGACAAACCTAATAAATGCTGCCTTTAAACTAAGATATGTTTTCAGATTTTGGGAAGTAGCAAAAGTTATTATAATTGCGAAACCATGTAAACCTCTAATTGAAGTGGATCTCTATCTTTGCTTCCGGCGATGTTAAAGTTGTTTGAAAGATTTTTTGTGAAACGATTATAACCTATAATAGGAAGGAAAACATTGACCAAATCATCAGTAGTGGTTTAGAAGTAAGCAATCTACAATGGATCGAGTTCACCGAATAACGGATATAATAGAAAAGTCACTAGAAGAAAAGATAGTCTGTTCTACAATCATCTTAGACGTAGCAAGGCTTTTAGCTTAGGCTGTTGTCAAAGTTTATCATGAGGGATTGAACTAAAAACTAAGAAGTTACTTCTAAAACAGAATCTAAAAGAAGTAAGAATCTAAAAGTGTCTGGTTATATGGTATGGCATAACGTCACTTATAGGTTACTATACCGGCAAAGTTATCGATTTGGTCGTATTATGTCCGCTAAGAGCTGAGAGTTGGTGCGAGTTTCAAAAAACTAAATCAACAGAATCGGAGTATTTAGTGAAATAAATATCATTTTGATATTTTATCCAAATGTACCACATAATGGTACTACGTGTTGTACGCGTAGGCACCGCGAAAATGATCCGCTACTACAACCAACCACAATCCAAGTCACCTTGTATTAACTTCTGTAAAAACTTGATACACTGGTCATCTCTTGTCAGGTCCATCGTAAAGTTGTGACGTTTGAACGCAGGCATGCGTTCAAAGATCCAGGTATGATCCGTCCAAGCGTAAGAGACAAATATTTGAGAAATCTCCTCTGAATTCATTCCAATGTAAGTCTATGACACACATATTGTGGCGACTAAATTACAGAACCATGTTCCAATTTGGACAATACTAGGATCAGAACTAAGCGATTGTTCAGCACTAATAGTAAAGGAAGTATACGCATCAGAGATTTTCTGTTAAGTCAAACACCTCAATCTTGTATATTCCGCTGAATAGAAAGCACTATTGCTTCTACTTTCTTCTCCACTTCTTCTTATAATACTCGTTCAACTTTAATAGCCGCTTAATTTCTGGGATGTGCCAAATAGGGTATGAGGATCTACGGCTTAGGAACAAATAAATCCAAAATCTCATACAACTTTGTACAGAAAGCTCGCAGAGCATCATCCGCATTAATCTGCACATTTAGAAAAAAAAACAATCCGTATAAAGTAGTTCATCATAAAAGCCAGGAAAGTTTTCTCTTCGAAAATTATAGCGACCACCCAAAGTTCGGCACCATCATTTACCGTCAGTAAATTTATTGTAATATCTAAGGCGGGAGAGAATCGGAACAAGATCAAACTGATGATCAGTATTTGTCAGAACCAAATCCAATAGACGAAAATCACAAAAATTACGAAATAACTTCGATTTTCCACATTTGATTGATATGCCAGGTGCCTTAATATATTCAGGCAAATTAGAATCACCAAGGATAACGATAGGATAATTCAAAACTTTATGTTCTAAGCCTTCAAAGAAACAAGCAAATCAGGTTGCGGATTATCAGGAGGTACAATACCACGATATATAAGATCACTGACCATAAAGAGTACTTGCAAATCAACACATCGACAAGTGGCACTAAAGACCGAATATCTGTAGAATCAACCAGTTCAACATCACGATGACATTTTTTTTTTGATAATTGTGATTCAACATTCATCGTAAAGATGTAAATAAAATCAATAAAAAATTTGTTACGATGAAAAATAGTTAATCATGATGACTAGCTACAGCAAGCAGAACTCCTCCACCTCTGTTATGTCCAACTAAATCAAACATACGAACAGCTCGTACGACGCTGTACTTATCCACGAATAATTCATTAGATCCAAGATCCGAATTTAAATTAGTTTCCGATAAGGCAATCAAATCATAGGTACAATCAGGACAATTAACATAAAATTTACGCGTTTTTATACGAAGACCATTAACATTTTGATAATATACATTAACAGACTGATACGTTTTGTTGGGGAAAATCAGTTTTCCAAAAGCTTGACAATTGAGGGAAGGTATACTACTTTGTTTTGCCGCCATTTTGGTAAACATTAGTCTTGACAGTTCATATTTGGCAGTCGTGAAGTAGAGACGTGGCAAATTTATTATGGAAAAATATTCGGTAAACCAACCTGTTTTAATTGTTAAAACATTTTATCAAAATCAATCATCGATTACTGTGACGATGAGAAAGTTACGTGAAATTTTTGGGAGAAACAACGTGCCAACAAAACGCACTATTTATCGTGTAGTGAATAATTTCGAAGAAAGAGGGACTGTAGCTGATAGGCCCAAGCATGGATCACAAAAAAACAACAAGACCAATCTTGGACTTTCTGCAAGATCGGCTGAAAACATTACTGCTGCTCAAGAAAGTGTTCAAAACAATCCATCAACCTCAATTCGACGCCGTGCTCAGGAGCTTGGTCTTCAAAGAACAACTTTGGCCACAATTTTGCACAAGGATTTGCATTTGTTTCTATTTAAGATTCAGTTGACACAACAGCTTGTTCTAGAAGACCATTTACGCCGCCGTACATATGCCAATAGGATGTTACAGCTCGCCCATGACGAGGTGTAACATCCATGATCGAGCGAACATCCATTATGGGCGACCTCTTGAGAATGTAATGAAAAATGTGCTCAAAAGGGCTGGCATTTGTGAGGCTAACAGAGGCGGACATTTATCTGATATTGTATTCCATACATAATTGCCGACATTAAATAAAACGTTTATCAATATAAGATCCATTCTCTTTCATTTAATCAAAAATTATAAACAAACAAAGTAGTATACCTTCCCGGCGGACACCTGTACTTTAGTACCAAACCCTTTTCGCCAGACTTAGTTATGTTTTTTTTCCAGTCTTCGCTTTCCTATAACGATCAAACTGGAAAGGATTACGATCATTCGAGACAGAGATGTTCTTAAATTTATTATAGGATTCCAAATTCCACATTTTACGAAAAATAAGCTTAAAAGAATTATGATCCGACAATTTTACTCGTATAGGCCTACATCTCGCGCTATTAGAAGCGTCAAATTTACCACAGCGAAAAGGCTAAATAATAGGTTCAGTAACCCTTAAATGCGTAAATAGTTTGCCTAGAAAGGCAACATCCGCATCACCTTGTCCCTTTCATCACTTCGTGTATAATTTTTTCGGAATCAAAATCAGTTAAAGAATGTGAAGATGGCATTTGAGTAACATTTGATCTTTCAGACTCATTAAGTCATTCTCTAAGTAGGGTGGCTTAATACATATCTAATTTCTTTATCTTGAAATTTATACGTCAAAAAGTCTAGATCACAAACGATAGTACACCCTCTATATAATTTATTGTTTGTAATACTCTCATTATTAACCCCTTTTATTTGTAATTACTTTTTTGAACAAGCTTTATATAAAATAAATATTTCTAGAATCTTCTTGTCCTGATAAATAGATACTTTTATTAAAACTTAAAAACTTTTAGGCGTCGTTAAAGTTTTAGTGGGTCCGTAGAAATTTTTTAGGTGCATGTTTGTCATTGTTAGCGACGAAGTCGAAATAAAGAACGCCACGGTATAAGCCAAAGTGAATTTGCCAAGACATGAAAGCACGCGAACGGTTCTACAGTTGTGATAAATGGGCTCAATTTCGCGAAGTGCCGCCGAATATCAATTTTATTATATGTTCGTTTTATTGCTAATCGACACAAAAACCGACCTCTCTTATAACATTCTTAAAAAGCACAAAGAAATCGCGTGAATACCAAGATTTTCGTTCTACCATAAAATAACGAAATTACTTTATTATTAGTTTAATAAGATACTCATTTAAAGTGGTCTAATTTAATTTGTGGGAATAAAGCTTAAAATAGTTTTAGTTTATTCGATAAAATTAGCACCAAAAATGAGTTTATTTCTTTTTTTTTTTGCTATAAAAAGATTAGATTGGATTAGGTTGACCTTGACCAAATAATTAATAATTTCGGCGACCTAAATATTTTTTGCGTGTGTTGGTCAAATCTAACATTTGACTTTACCCTCAATTTTTAAATGCTATAAGTTCGCGTGCCCAAAGCTTAGTAACTTAAACTTTCACCTTGTCTATAGCTATAACACGTCGGTGTCATGTCTATGGACACGAATGTTCGTAGAAAAAGTGCTTCTTGTTAATTGGTGGGTTAACGGTGATTGGTTCATTGTAAAAAATCGAACCCTATTCATTTAATATGATTAGAAAAAGATTATTTACTAAATAATTAATTATAATGGTAATAATTAATATTATCAATGAGTTGGTGAAATTTAGGAGTTTAAAACAATCTTAAACTATTCAAAAAAATTATTCAGAGACTAAAATGTAAGTGCAAAAAGCAATCAAAACTTTAACATAAACTTTCTCCCCTTAAAGCTAAAGCAACCCCCAAAATTTAAATTACATTCACTGTCAGCCACACTACCTTGGAAACATCACATTGTTTACGACGAAAATTACACCACCAGCAACATCATGCAACATCTCACCTAAAGCGATTGCTTGTCACTCACTGAAACGGTAGTAAGCCCTGGAATTTTAAGGGTTGCGTACAACGTCGCCATGGTAACCATTTCAAAACAGGTGGTGAGTTTTCGGTTATGAAAGTTTTATTTTGCGAGATTTTTCAAGGTGAATACTGTAATCTCGGCGTGAATTAATTTGCGAAATGATACGGTTTGTTTCAAGTGGGCATTATCAATGTGTAATGACTGCATTTTGATATTTTCTAATTCCAAATGGGTTATCAGCGACGAGGTGGCCGAGTGGTTAAGGCGTTGGACTGCTAATCCAATGGGCTCTGCCCGCGTGGGTTCGAATCCCATCCTCGTCGATATTAAATTATATTTTTCTTCTTTGTTCGTATTTTTTTTCAGGTGTATAAATATTTATGCAATCGTTAAACTCGTTTGAAGGATTCTTGGATTTCTCAACATGTTGTATATGTAGCATCAGATAGCGATAACCATAAATTAACAGTCTCAGGTTTTTAAATGATGCCAAAAGCATTTTCGGACGTTCTTCTGACTGGAAAATAGTTTCACTTTCAACTTCTTTCCGTACGAACTCATATCAACAATAACATCGTACAGTGCAAGAAGCACCAGAAAATAATACCCTTTATAGTTGAAGAGTAGATTTTCCGATTTGCAAAGCGCAAAAAATCTCACAAGGTTACCATCAATTGCAACTATACAATTGAGAAAATCCCAACGTTTTGAAATTGTGAAGAATTTTGATTTTGGTAATTTCAGTTTTGTGCATAAAGGTCGTGGATCTAGGGGTGGCGGTGTGGCTTCTCTTTATCGCAGTAACTTGCGATGCTCGGTCATTGAAAGTTATATTAAATTTGAACAGCTCTGGTTGAGAGTGTCTACTGGGATATCATATGCCTGGGTTGTGTGTATAAACCCCATTCTGAACATTATAAAAATTTCTTGGATGAATTGGAAAATTCGTTGTCAGGCATGTTGATGTCGACAGACAGAATATTGTGCTATGGAGATTTTAATATTGATCTGCTAAATTCTCAGAGTAAAGATACAGATTATCTTGTCTTTGTTTGACGTGTCTATGATAGATTGCCTTATGGTTTTTCTGATCACGATTTAGTGTACTGTGACTGTAAGCTGAGCAACCCAATGACAGAGCCTGCATATAAACTAATAATAATACGTTTTATTGTGTTATATGCTAGGGCTTACACTCGTCATATATAATTTAATACAATAAGTAAATTCACAATCAACAATCAAATCCCAATTACAATCCTGTCTTTCAGATATTAATCAACTGAGTAGAACGCATTCCTCAACATAAACGCTCATATGACATTTTTAAATTTATTTTTTTGCAAAGATCTAATGCCCATGGGCAATTTATTAAATAAGATTTGTGCAATATAAACTGACCGGCAAAAAAAACCGGCCACTAAAATTTTGCCACAATTTCAAAGCTGGGTTTCTCGCGAACCACTCATTCGATTTTGATGATTCCTTTTTTGATCGAAAGGTTGATTCTTCTGTAATAATCCTGCGATAGAAATTTTTATTCGGATATTAATTTGAACATATACGGGGTGCAAGAATGAGAAATGCATTTTTTCTCGAAATTTGAAATACCCTGTGGGGTGCAGATGCTACAGCAGAGAGTGTTAACTGGAATCAAACGGTAACCCAATCTTTTCTGAACATTTTGTTTTTTTATTCACTCTATTATCTCTGTTACTAACGAAGATGCAGTGTTTTAAAGCGAATGCCTGTAAAAACAAGACAAACAAGCATACAAAATCTAAGGTGGCGCGCTAGGTAGCGTATGTCAGTTGTTTCGAATAGTAAATTGACAGTTGTCAAAGATGCCGTTGTCAATAACTGATGTTGCGCGTATTATTAGTTTAATTGAAGATGTTTTAATTGAGATTTATTGTGCTAAACACTCTGAGGAATCGTAGAACGACTGCTGTAGAAACTCGGCATCGTCTTCAAATGGTGCGTGGGGTTGACGTAAGTAAAAGAACCATTCGTCGAAGACTTGCTGAAAGTGATCTAACTGCAAGAAGACCTGCCAAAAGACAGCGGCTGCTCCAGAGACATCGGCGAGCACGTTTTCAATTTGGGCGCCTACATACGAATTGGAAAATGGAACAATGGGGTAAGGTGCTCTTCACTGACGAGTCCCGATTTTGTCTCCGGTCACCTGATGGTCATCTTTGTTGAAAATGGCACGCTAAATGCCCACCGTTATATCCAAGATATTCTGCAAGAAGCTGTCGTGCCCTATTCCCATTTTATTGGTGACGGATTCATGCTAATGCATGACAATGCGCGACCGCACGTAGCACGTGTGATTCGCGAATATCTTGATGAGGTGAGTATTGAACGGATGGAGTGGCCAGCGTGCAGCCCGAACCTTAACCCTATCGAGCATCTTTGGGACCAACTTCAGAGACGCATTCGTCGTCGTCCTGTCCTACCGGACAACCTTCAGTAGTTACGAATTGCTCTTGAAAAAGAGTTTACCGCAATTCCTCAGGGATCAATTACGAACCTAATCAGTTCGATGCCGACTACATGACGTTACTTTGGCTCGTTGGGGGCACACACGCTATTAATTTTCGTGTTATTATTAATTATTACATTAAATTAAATTTGTTTTCTTGTTTATTTGTCTTTGTTTTTACCGCATATTAGAACTGAGAACAGATGTTTACAATAATGAACGTATGGACGTACGCAATTCTGTAATTCTAAGAAAATGTAAGTGCTTCTGCAAAACTGTTTCGGGTGCTCAGTTTTACTTTTCAAGGTCAGTGATTTAAGGCGCCACTTTTAACAATGATTAAAAATCTGTATAGGCTTCTTTGGAAATACCCGGCCACACCATCACAGAACCACCATCGAAACTTTAGCGTTTCATAATTATTGTATAGTCCACAAATCTTTCATTTCAACGTCTTCATATTCGCTCCTGACTATCGGGTGATAGTAGACAAAACCACTACTCATCCGTAAAAAGGACCTCCATTGCACTACTCATTCCTCCATTGCTCGATCTCCCAATTCACATGTAAGTGCGCACATCGATATCTAGGAAGCAGCCTCGGCCCTTTGGCAGCCTTCTTGCAGCCAGACCAGTTCTAGCAAGTTTTCAGCGAATGGTTCTCTCACTGACATCAACAGCACGCACCATTTGAAAACGATGCTGAGCCTCTACAGCTGTCGTTCTACGATTGCTTAGAACAATAAAACGGTCATCAACTACTATTGTCACTCATCTTGTTTTCACAGGCGATGGCTTTAAAATACTGCATCTTCGTTAGTAACAGAGATAATAGAGTGAATAAAAAAAGAAAATGCTCAGAAAAGATTGGGCTACTGTTTGATTCCAGGTAATACCCTCTGCTGTAGCAGCTGCACCCCACAGGGTGTTACAAATTTCGAGAATAAAAGTTTTTCTCATTTTTCTCACCCCGTATATGCTCAAATTAAAATCTGAACGAAAATTTCTATGGCAGGATTATTACAGAAGAATCAACCTTTCCATTAAAAAAAGAATCATCAAAATCGAATGCGTGGTTCGTGAGAAACCCAGCTTTGAAGTTGTGGCAAATTTATAGTGGCCGGTTTTTTTTTGCCGGCCAGTTTATATATGACTTTTTTGCGTTCTACTCAGTTGACAAAAATCAACGTAAATATTTTCACGGTTTCTGGTCCAATAACCATGCACGTCGGCATGCATGCTGTATTTGTCTTTATTGTCGTAACAGTACAGAAGACACTTAAGTATAAACAAATATGGTAGTGTCAAAATATCAAGTTGTCTGAAAGCGTGTCGGCAGTCATCTGTATAGTTAAGTTTAGCAATGATCCTCACCGCCTTGCGCTGCAAGCCAAATATATGGTTACTAGCTGGACTACCACCCCAAGCAATGATAGAATAATTCAATATTGAGTGAATGAGCGCGAAATAAGAGGTTCTGGCCACCTCAGCCGACTCAGAATTCACCAATCTACGTAGTAGAAATATGTTTCGGGCAATTTTCTTACCAATCACTACTGTATGAGTCTCAAAATGCAAGTCGGGGGGGCTCACTGTTATCCCCAGTAATTTAGTAGAGGATAGCTCATTTAAATTTATATAATTTTGTCTAAGACTGAACAATGATTGGACCGTTTTGTCTTGATTCTACATATGCTATTATTTGTCGCGTTTGAAAATAGGCACAACAGACGCAACCTTTAAGACATCAGGGAATACACAAGAAGACAACGAGCTGTTTACCAATCCGGTTAAAGGCTTCACAAATAGGCTAATATTATTCTTTATAACTTTGGTTGGAACCCCTAACCTCACACTCCGACACTTGTGTAAAGGAAAAAATGGGGACATCGATAAAGCTAGCGGGGCATATGTGTGAAGAAGGGTTAGCCAATGGACCAAGTTGGGACACAATGTTATTAGCCTCGTTAACAAAGAAATCATTAAGAATATCCGGGTCAAGATTCACTGAATTTTATTTATTGGCGTTTGGCCTGTTATTGTCTATAACCGCCCAAGAGGCTCTAGATTTATTGTTCGACCCATTAATAAAATTATTCGTAGCCTCAGATATTTTGTTACGGTATAACAATCTGGCTTTGTCTCTAGAATCTCTTAGACTTTCCGTTTTAAAACGGTTATAAAAATTAGAAGCCAAGTCATAGATATCTCTCAGCTGATGCAGTGTGATCAAACCATTTGATTCCTACATCACGGACTCTAACTTGCCTTCCAACCTCAGGATAAGCTGTATAAAATGTTGATAAGAACCGATCAAAAAAGTAATTAAATCTAGCATTAACATCAAATTCACTATCAGAAAGAAGCTCCCAGGAGTATTCCTGAAAGATTGACCTACCAATCCCAGTAGTGTACCTCACAGGAAAAGTTGATGAAATTTCAGCCGAAATAAATTGGCCATGGTGATCTGAAATATTATTCATGAACCTGAAAACGTCCCGCTCTAATTTAACAAAAACATTGTCAATACAATTATTTCCCCGTATAGGCTGTGAGATTGTGGGAGAGAACCCAAAGGTGGAAAATATATTACAAAGTTCAGTAGCGTTAGTATTACGGGTTCCAAATTTAACGTTAAAATCACCTAGGACTATGATATTTCTGCAGTCGGCCAAACTAACCAGAACACGCTCAATTATATTCTTAAAGTTTACAAAACTACGGGATGGGGATCTATACACACAAACAATAATTGCCAGAGTAGCCTCACACCGCAGAGCTGCCAACTCACAATCAACTTCAACAGACAACTGGTTAATATTCTCCAATACATTACATTTTCGACCAATTTTAGAAAAAATTGCCACTCCACCGTGGATATGGATAGTTCTAACAAAAAACGAATGAGTCACTTTCCAATCCGCATCCCAAGTTCAAACTCTATACTGTGAAGGAAATGCTCACTTATGCAAACAAAATCAAAGACCGTTTTATAACTTTCAAAAAACACCAGAACGTGTAGAGAGGCATGTACAATAAAGAAGTTGGCGACAATACTTACAAGAATCCAAAGACAATTGCTGATAAAAACAACATGTGCATATAGGACCGTGTCCACAGTAGCATTGCAGGTAGTGGGTGGACCTGTTGAAATAATGGTGTGGAAAAGAGCGGAGGCGTTCGAGAGAGCGGAAGAGAAGGGTGAGCTGGAGCGGGAGGCGCTGAACAGATGGCAGAGGAGATGGCGTGGGGAGACAAAAAAGGCTTGGTTGAATAGACGATGGGGGGAGGTGAGTTATACCGGACCCAAATATTAACTGGCCACGGATGCTTCAGACAATATCTGTACAAATTTAAGAAGGTTGCCTCTCCGGTATGTTTGTACTGCACAGAGATCGATGACGTACAGCACACCGTATTGGACTGTGTAAGGTGGAAGGAAGAAAGAGAAGAAATGTGGAGAAAAGTAGGCGGAAGACTCAATCCGGAGAAAATGGTCGATAGGATGGTTGAGAACGGTGACTATTGGATTAGTGTGGAAAACTTCGCAAAGAGGGTGATAAGTGAGAAGGAAATGGGAGAAGAGACAGGGTAGGCGCGGCCTCCCTCGCATTCAGGTACGAGTAGTAATATAAGTAATTCAAAAAGTTATCGGATTTGTCTGTTTGCTTACATGGACGGAGTCGAGTGATCGGGACTAGAGCAACAATTCAATACCAGGACAACGGAAGGAGAGGAAATGAGGGGGTCGTAGCCCCCTCTTCCAGGTATACATTAAAAATTATAAATTTCAAAACGTAATGGAATTGTTTGTTCACATACATGGATGCGCTGTGAGGGTCCGATGGAAACCTGTATGCGAATTGACCACCCCCGCAAATATCCATTATCCTGGAACAAGAGACAGAGTGTGAGTGAGGCCACCGGAAAGAAGAAGGTTTTGTTTGTATACCGCCGTCTGTGTGATGGTCAAAGCCCGAAGGGGTAGTTCCGCACAGGAGAGTGCGAAGTAAGAGGGGGGTTTTTACTGAGCAGCGAGGGGCTGTCGTAGCCCCACACTCCCGGCCGAAAGTATTTCACCCATCCAGACCACCGTGGAAAGGCGCCAACAGTAGGCCGGGGTGCGTATTGCATTTTCCCCACCTCAGCGCCGAAAAAAGAAAGGGTTGGGTTGGGTTGGGTTGGGTTGGGTTGGTTTGCATTGCGTTGCGTTGCGATTGGATTGCATAGGATTACGTTTGGTGAGATTGGGTTGGGTTAGGTTGGGTGGTTAGGTTACGTTTCTTCCGACATTTGCTACTGCAACACATCTATTATTGTTCTTTTCTCTTTAATGCTATGTCTTTTCATTTATGCTATAATAAAAAAAAAATACTATGGGAGCTTCATTTTTCTTCGTTACATAAGATAACATTGTTATGTTATTCGTATATCCATAAGATGAACCTACTTCTCTTGTTTGTTTTGGAAGTCTGGAGAGGCTGCAGGAATCTCTGTCTTGTTTTCTTCAGAGTTTCTACAAAAGTGAGTTTTGCTTCCTTTAGTGCATCTATCAGTTCTATGGAAGAAAACCAATTATCGGCCGATATGTTTCGATTTGGCTGATAATTGGTTTCGCCAACCTAAGTACAGATTGGATTGGCTTAGAGTACCTCTTTAGATCTTCAGATAAATTATATCCATCCGAATCTTTGCCATTACAAATATAAGCAATTATGGCCCCCAACCCCACACTATCCGGCCACTCAAGATCCTAGGCCGAATATCTGCTAGCAGATTTTCCCTGACCTGGTTAAAAAAAAAGGTGGGTTTAGGTTGGGTTGGTTTGAATTACGTTGCGTTGCGATTGGATTGCATAGGATTAGGTTTGGTGAGATTGGGTTGGGTTGGGTGAGATTGCGTTGGGTTGCGATTGAAACAGAGAAACCACATAACATTCACCACATGACATTCACCCGACAACAAGAACACTAAATTCTTCCGATATTTGCTATTGCATTACATCGATTACTGTCCAGTTGTTTTCAATGCTATCTCTTTGCATTTATGCTATAACAATTGAAAAGATTGTCATAATTAAATGTATTCAATTATCTCGTCAAAAATTTGTCTAGGAGGGCAGAGAATATATACAAAGTGATTATATTTTTGATAAAATGGAGCAGATAAAAAACGTAGGCTAAACCCGAAGGTTTCTAGTTCTAAGTCTAGTGTTAGTTCAATAAAAATATACAACAATCTAACGCTAAATAACAACTAAAACAAGAACTAACACTAGCATTAGAACTAACACTAGACCTGGAACTAGAAATATTCGGGTTTAGCCGTACCTTGATGTGAAAATATATCCCAATTTCGTCGAACTCAATCCTATCAGATGAGCTTTTCTCTAACAAACTGTTTGCATCAGTGGCGACCAAAATAGAGCATAGCTCTTTTTCATTACACTGATATTGATGATACACAGGTATTATTAAACTTCTGCTATTGTAAGATTGCCACAACAAAAACTCGATATTGCTTGAATAGGACCAAATTTTAACGAGGGGAGAAATAAAACGTTTTCTATTTCCAAAATATTACAATTAAAATTAATGAAATAAAATAAAACGAAAATTTAAAAGAAATTATCTACGCATGTCAAAAAGAAGGTAAAACAGTTTCCACCCTCAATCTAACCGGCGCCGACGCAAGCGTCGCGACGTTCACCACTAAAAAATAAATTCATTATTTATAAATTAAAACTTCCCATTTAGAAATTTAAAGTGAATCAGTGGTAATAATTAAATTCCAATTGATATTCATAATAGAGCGTAATAACTTCCTTTTACAAGTACTCGTCAACCATGAAATAATCCCACGGCAGTTTCACATGCGATCAATAACACGTCTACAACCTACAATTTGTAACGAGTGCATACAATAACCAGAAAAAACAATGTTTCATCTCGTTTAATTAAGGATTATGCAATTGATGAAAAATTTTCAGTGTTACCAGTGAAGTCATGGCTAATGCAGTTGAACAAAAAGATGTGCAACAAAATGGTGTTCAAACGAATAGTTATGTGACTGTGATTCCAGTTGAATATCCAACTAATAGAGTTTATAATGGACAAGCAGCGGAGTATATCGTGGAACAATATAGGTAAGTATATTATGACATTTTCTATTCACTCCATAAATACATTTAATTCATGTACACTAAAAGGGAACAAACTTGACCTCTACCTCAACATGCAAAATTTGCATCACACAAGAAGGTCATCCTGGAATCGCGGTGACATTAATTCCTTGGGTCTGTATCATGAAGAGTGACGCTAAGCAGTAGGAGCATAAATATTTAGATTCGCCACTGTTATGACGTGTTATACACAAGGTCATTTTGGGGCTGTAGTAGAATAGTATACGAGACCATGAATAATGCAGTTTGTGTTTATGGACACTTTGGTTAATTTAGGGAAGGTCTTTATGTCGTTTAGATTTCTAATTTTATAGTTAAATGAAAAACATTAAATTTATCATAACAATAATAATAAAATATAACAATTTTTTACCTCCAGAAATCTTCAAGATGATTACATTCAAACTGACGACGTAACAAATAATCAAAACGCTCATTATTCGGTTTCTCAAAGAATACAAAATGGACCATCAAATTACTCAACAGTTTGCCCTCCAGAACCGTTTAATAATAACAGCGAAGGACATTGTTCAATTACTTCTTCTTCAGGGATGAAAGGAGATTGGAATAGGGATAACAATTTGAAAAACGTGGATAATGTCGATGCGGAAGTTGAATCTGAAAGTAGTTTAAATGAAAAACAGTTAAGTGGTGAGTATAACTTTTAACTATTAATATGTGAATCGTAAAAATCTTTCCTTCGTTTTTAATGGTTGTTTATTTGAAACAGTCAAGATTAAAAGCGACGTTACGTCATAAAAGTGTTGTATTAGTCAACCGTGTTTGAATTTGCGTGTGGCGATGTTAAAAATACGCCGCATTTATTCGCGCTGGTCGTTTGACCTTTTAAAAGAGGGGTCTTTTTCTTGGAGTAATAAATGAAAATCTGATAGTTGGTGGAAACGGTGTAAAAATAAAATTGTAATTTTCTTATGTAAAGGCAATTAACGGACATTTTTTTATGTGGTTGTTTTCATTTGCTATTTTTAGGTGACGCACGTCTAAAGAGGAACATTATTTTAATCATGGCGGTTTTTAACATTTAATATGTAAAAAACTGATAAGCGAGGCAGTTTGAAATTTGGTTCACGTTCCTTTATTGTTGTTCCTTTACAAAGGAATACACTGTATGTAGTTTCATTATTTAATTTCTAACCATTTTATAAATAACAAATTTTTTCTTTAATAATATTCGACAAATAAAACGAATTGGTTATCATTAGTGATGGGACGGTATTTGAGGAACGGTATTTTGGAGCGGTATTTTTGAGGAGCGTACCGCTTCCACGCGATTTTAAAATACCCGATTCCGAACGTTACTAAAATTTTACTTTGTACGTGTCCGACAAAGACAGTCAGGTTAAATGCCGTTATATATTTGTTTAAGGCGCCCTTAATACATTTTTTTTCAATTTTCGGGTAGCGTATAATTTTTTAAAATTATGATAATTAAGGATGGGGAATATACAGTGCTAGCGTAAAGTAACCCCCCCCCCCCTTTTAACTTCTGAACGGATTGAGATATCAATATGAACAAAAACACGTCAATTTCTATACTTTATCAGCACAAATATTTTCTTATGGAAAATTTTGCTGTCACTTTTAGTTTTTCCGGAAAGTGGATCAACTTTGTTTTTTTAAATGGAACACCCAGTATATTATGGTACCTTCCGAAAGAATAAAACAATACGAATCCAACGATACCCCATAATCAAATATCGGCTTATTAGTTTTTTGCATAAAAATTAAACAAAATGCGGAATTTCGCCGGAAAAACCAACGTATCTTCGTTGACTACCTGTCGAGATACAATGGACCAGGTAAATGGTGGACGGTCAGTTAAAGGTCGGTCTACGCTCGAGTTAAGCAGGGTTAAAATCGGCAATTTTTTTAGAAATTTTTTTATGAAACAATCAATGTAAGAAAAGAATAAAAAGAAAGTTCTTCTTAAAAGTTGTAAGAAAAAATTGTCATAACAACAATTTTAAAGTTTGTAGGTACCTTGAAATTTTGTATTTAAGTCGGCATGCAAATATTTTCTTCATTTCTATCTTTGAATTCTACCCGACCAAGTATAACCAAAGAAAGGCAGATCAAAAAGGCTAGAAGTAGTTTAGAGCACAAAATCGAAGCAATTTTAATATTCGCTCGTGCTGACACAAATCTATATGAAACAGAGCGACAATTTAATGAACGATTTCCTGAACATCCTATTAGTCGAAAATATTTAAGAGAACTTGTAAATAAGTTTTTGGAAACTGGAAGCGTCGAAGACCGCAAAAGAACTGGTCGTCGTTCGATTTCTGAAGACACACAAGTGCAGATATTAACAGAAGTAGTTAATGCGAACATGATGTCGTCTGCTGCTATCGCATCAACGTGTGATGTGAGTCCAACAACGGCACGGAAATATTTAAAGAAGAATAAATATCATCCATATAAAATTAAAATGCTTCATGAATTAACAGAAGATGACCCTGATAGAAGAACAGAATTTTGTAAGCTAATGACAAATATGGTTGAACGAAATCCATCATACTTGAAACATATTTGTTTCAGTGATGAATGTACTTTCTTTTTGGATGGAAAATTGCATCGGCAAAATGTACGTTACTGGAGTGATGTTAATCTACATGAATATCGCGAAGTTAACACTCCATTTCCCAAGAAAATAAATGTTTGGGCAGGCATATTGGGAAATCACATCGTGGGACCAATATTCCTAACCGAAAATTTGACCGGAACATTGTATTTAAGATTATTAGAAGAAGATATTAATCCACGACTTTTGCAAATTGTGCAACAGAATCCTGACGATTTTGAAATGGAGTTACTGTTTCATCAAGACGGAGCACCTCCACATTATGCGGCAATGGTACGAAATTATTTTGATACAAATTTTAATGGACGGTGGATCGGTCGACGTGGGCCGATTGAATGGCCAACAAGATCAGCAGATCTGACACCTTTAGATTTCTTTTTATGGGGTTATTTAAAATCCAAGGTATATGAAAGTCCGCTAGACAGTATTGAGGATTTAAAACAAAAAATTATTGACGTCTGCCAAAATATTGATCATCACATGTTAAGCCGTGTGAGAGAGGAAACACTGCAAAGATGGTACCACTGCCAAGAAGTTCAGGGTAATCATATCGAACAATTTATTTAATAGTTTGTTCTTAATAAATAACATATTCAATAACAACACTAAGCCAATTTTTCAACCGTTATGGTATACTAGCAAAATCTTTGATAAATTTTTTTTTTATCTTATCATTTCTTATATTTACTTTGATTTTTCTTTATAAATACTTTTTGATTAAATATGATTAATTCATAAATTTAATATAGGTACTTCCACCCAACGTTTACTTTATTTCTAAAAAAGATAAGTAATTGAACTAGCAATTTTAAATCCGTCTTAGCTCGAGCATATACCGACCGTTAACCTACCGTCCACCATTTACCTGGTCGATTGCATTTCGACAGGTAGTCGACGAAGATACGTTGGTTTTTTCGGCGAAATTCCGCATTTTGTTTAATTTTTATTCGAAAAACTAATAAATCGATATTTGATTGTGAGGTACCGTTGGATTCGTATCGTTTTCATCTTTCTGAAGATACCATAATATACTAGGTGTTCCATTAAAAAAAACGAAGTTGATCCATTTTCCGGAAAAACTAAAAGTGATAGCAAAATTTTCCGTAAGATAATATTTGTGCTGATAAAATATAAAAACTGACGTATTTTTGTTCATATTGATATCTCAATCTGTTCGGAAGTTAAGAAGGGGGGGGTTACTTTACGCTAGCACTGTATAACTTTTTCTAACTTGCTACGAAACCAGCTATGTTATTGCTTTTGTTAAAAATAAAATATATATTTTTTATGTAACATATTTACATCAAAATATTACTATATCTTGAGATATTTACATCTTGAGGTTACTATTTAAAAACAATATTTTTTCAAAATTTTTTTCGCCGAGTCTGTTTCGTCTATCTGACAATATAAAACCCGATTTCGAAAATATTCGTTCGGATGGAACAGATGTAGCCAGAGTAATACATTTCTGCTGAAGAACGTTAGCAATATTCGGAAAATTATGAAAATTCTTGTTCCACCAAATTAAGGGATTTTCTGTTCTTTCTATTGTAGGTAACTCAATATATCTTTGCACCTCAATTATTGCTTGGGATGAATTACCAGCTACCGGCTGTTGCTTTATGAGCCGCTTTTCAAAAGTTTTCCATATTGAATGAAGATCAACATTTATTGGTTTGTCTGGGATATTTTTTTTATTGGTATTGCTATCGGTAATTGATTAAGCTACCAATAATTGCAATAGATTTGTTGCTCTTTCCACAGATACGCTGTTACTAAACCCTAAAGTTTTAAATCGTGGATCTAGTAACAAGGCAAGTGCCAAAGAATTATTATTATTATCTTATAAGTTGTTCTGTTTAATATTTAAGCCGTTTAGTATAGATTTAACCACGCTAATGGTAACGGCAGTAAAATCTTGATTTTTAAAGTCAGTGTAAGTTGCTAACAAACCGTCCGTTAGTAATAATAAGCATTTTATAGTTTTTAATATTTACAATTTTTATCCCCTTAATACATTCTAATATATATATTATTAGTATATTATTTTCACCCTCTACCCTCTTCCTCCATTTCCATACCCTCGGCTCCTCGGCCCAATCATCCCCTCATCCTTCCCTTTGTCTCCTTACCCCCACAACCATTCTCATCCATCGTTTCCCCTCTCCCCCCTCTCCTAAGATCTGCCCTCGGTCCAACTCCTCCTCCCTCAACTCACTGCACCCATTCAACATATGTTCCAACGTTTCCCATTCCTCCCTGCATAGCCTACACCACCTCTCCTCATCGGCCATCCAGTATCTGTTAGCTCTCTCCTCGTTTCCACAACGGAACCTAGCCACCAACTTCTTCCCTTCCTCATCTCCTTCCAATAACAAGTATCTAGGCAGCCCCTCCGTTATTATGTCCCTGTACCTTTCGTTATACCTCCCCTCTTTTATTTGTGTCCTTCTTTCCTGTCTCTGCACATCTCGGTCCCTATCTCTCAACTCCCTCCACATCTCCCTACCCACCCTTCGTCTACTATTTATCTCAGTTACCGAGTAGCCCGCTCGTCTATAATAGTTGTCTCTGTCTCCTTTCCCATATCTGATCTTTCCCTCTCTAATTTCCCTCCAACACTCCCCCAAGATCCCGCAGTTTGGCCTCCCTTCTATTCTTTCTTCATATTTCACTGCTCTCCTGCCCGCCTCCACTCTGACCTTATCCACCTTTACCTCTTCCCTCACTATATACCCCGGTGTTTCTCTCGCCACCCCAAGCACCCATCTCCAGTATCTAGCTTGCACGTCCTCCAGCATTGCCTGCTCTCTCCATCCCCATACCTCTGCTCCATACATCATCACACTGTTAACCAGGCCTTCAAACATAATCTTCCTCGCTGCCACATTCCTTTCAAAAACTCTCTTCCCCATCACCTTATTCGCCTTTTTTGCCATAGCTATCACATGCGACCCCTCCCTGTTTTCTTCCCTGAACACATACCCCAAGTAAGTATACTCCCTAACCTCCTCGATCTCTTGTCCCTCCCATCTCCAGTTTTCTG